GTGTGGTGTCATTTCGTTTTATTTGTAGTGTTTCAGGCAGTTTATCGTGGGATGTGATGTGTTTGTAGAACGCTCTCTCATAGGGAGCAGAATGCGGCACATTTCTCAATATCAGTCTTAATTTTTCAAAGTAAAATGGAGAGGCAAAATCTTGCAAAAATAGTCTTGGAACACGTCAGCCATGTTAAAGGCACCAATACCCTAATACCCCTGCCCTCCCACGCCCCCTGAAGTTGACTGCTTAAATATAACAAACATTAAGAGTCGTCAATCTCTGAAATTTTCTATCAAAGGCAAGAAATCCCAGCTCTAGAAACAAAGATCTTCTCTATAAAATACAAATGTGATCCCTTCAACTGCATTTTACATCTCAAATACAAAAGGACAAGACACAAAATTTAACCCAAAAGTACAGCAACATCACGGGAAGCAACTAATTGCTAATAACTTAAAGGTAATTGCAACTTTACAGCAGATTTTATTGGACATGTTTTATTTATAAGTTAAAAGTTCGCTCTTCAAACTAGTGCAATGTACAAAATGTTGAAATACAAAATTCTAACTCACCACTCAAAAGTTAATAAAAGATCATTAAAAATATGAATTATAGTAACCTTTTACAATAAAGATCATATTATGCCTGAAATCAAGCCAGCAAAATTTACAGCAAACCATACCGGTAAGTAAGAGACGTCCAAATATGACGGAAAGCAGCCTGTGATAACATCCGTGTTTTTCGCCCGACTAAACGGTTGGGGTTAAAATAGAAAACGAAGGCTACGTTTACATGATAATGACGGGATAAACTTCTATTCCAAGGAAAAAATGGATTTGAAAGTCTATCTCAGGAGGATGTAATCATAACCTTAAAATTCGAGAGGAAAAATGGATGGTAAAACGAAAACAAATGTGGAGAATGTTTTTATTGGGAGTTTCTTTTCAGTACTATTACCAGTCACTACTAAATCACTCCGCAATAAAGACATTCATACGAGCTGCAAACAAAACTGATAGACGCCGGTTAACGTTTTTAAATACTATCTGCATTTTAATGCTTTGAAACGTTCCAAACATGAGCGTCAACAAACTATATGCCGGCAGAGAAACCAAGGATGTTTTGAAAGGCTAAAAGCTCTACACGCGGCACTCCCGCGTCGTGATACGCGTGACACCCCACTATATTCGAAGAAAAATAACACACTACTTGCAGTCTACAAAGTTCTCATCCAAATGCCAAGTGCCGCTACCAACAACTGCTGTCAGTTTTGCGACATCAAAGAGTGAGAACAAAGCCTTATTAAGTTCATCCCATCTACGCCTTCAAGAAACTTTTGTTCAAAAAAAATCGTACAGAAGCCGTGTAGTGTAGTTTCTCGAAGGATTGATTACGTTCCACTATAAAAGGTGGTTCTGACCTCCAAATATGTGGATACTAACGTCTAATGAGATGTCAGAGTAAAAACAATTCACATGGAGAAGCGGGACAACGTGAATGATTGAATATAACAAAGATGGTACTATTTTATAGTAACGACAACTTAGATCACATTTTTTTTCTTGCATTAGCCCAGCCTACAGATCAAATGTACGTGTAAGGCCAGTTGTATAAGGTTTCGAAGAGACAAAATGTGAAAAGAGACTGTCTAAACATGCAACTGGTCACAACTTGGCCGTAAATGTTTTTCGGCCACACCGAACCCACACGAGGTACATAGTACCTTACTGATTCGGTCATAGTGGCTTGGAATCATTGATATCATTCAATTTATCATGCCTGAAGCCACGTAATGTGGCTGATTGCATATAAAAGCATAGGTATTGGTATAAAATTTTCGTATTTGGCCAAACGTTTGGGCGTTTATGAAGAAGAATGTCGTGAATCAGCAAAACTAAGTTTGTTGAAGCGTGGAGTAGGAGAAATTATGAGACCGTGAATCTGTCAGCCTTAGAAAGGACTAACCACTAATGAAAAGTCGTATTTCAGCTGTTACTAAAAATGAAATGGCAAATCAGGAACTGGTATCAAGGCAGCATAAAATGTACTGTAATTAGAACATCTCATCTCCATCAGTGGAAAAACTGTTCAGTGTCGTCATAAATAAAAACTCGATTAGAAATTAAGATCATTTAAACAAGGTTCAATCTTTTTTTCCCACGTTTTTCACATGACATTTTGGTTGTTTTTTGGATTGTGCTTTAAAGCATTCTTAACAGCAAAAAGGCATTCTCTCTTGTACGAGTAAAGCGGTTGAAAATCAAAAAATAAAACTTAGTAAACGAGGGGAGTAGAAACAATGACAGACGTAAGAGAGTTAGAGAAGGAGTGTTGGATAGGTAAACGAGATAAAACTATTTGTTTTGATAGTCTATAGTGTAAGAGAAATTAGCTGGCCTAACAGCTAAAGTTACTTAATTACAATAAGTTTTTTATCCATTATTTTGAGGTCATCCTTGGAGTTTTTAACAAATTCTTGCAAAGCATCAGTCGAAACGCCAGTGCAGGAACGAAGGTCGAGGCGTGCAATGGAAGGAAAAAGCTTCAAAAAAGACAAACATTTATCAGTGAGACTTGCACAACCACTAAGAAGGAACTCATTGATCAAAGCCTGGCCACAGACACTTTCAATGTCTTGATCAGTTATTCCAGGGCAGAGGCTTAAATCAAGCTTGCGCAAATCCGGGCAATGCTGAACCAAAAGACGTAGAGACGAGCCGGTCACGTCACATCCGGAAAGAAATAAAGTAGTTAGCCTGTAAAACGAGCTTTTGCTCTCCACGGAACCTGCGCGGGAGTCAGAAACAGGCAAGATGATTTCCTTCAACAACGAGTCAGTGATTCCCACGGACCAGCTTAGTCCAAGGACTTTGAGCCGAGGGCAGACAACAGACGAGAGAGCATAAACTGTGGCTTCTGTCGTGCCACTTAGATAAAGCTCCCGGATTCTCGGCAGGCGGTTCAGCAGCCACTTCAGTTGTTGAAATGTAACGTTTGTCCAGCTAAGGTTCAGCGTGGTCGGCTGACGTCGAACAATTCCCTTGAGAGCAGCAGCGCTGACGACTTTTTTCTCTGATAGGTCAATAACTGACCAGAGCCGTCGATCCATGCACCAGCGGTTCCATGTACGACATACGCGCATGCACACGCACAACTCAGGTTGCGAGAGAAAGCTGAACACTTCAAGCCAAAGCTGACGGTCCATCACATGATTTTGGTCATTTACTAACATAAAAGACTGAGGTGGAGGAGAAATAGGGCACGGACGAACCACGCGCTTGGGTTTCACTTCCGGCGGGGGACCAACAGGGAGTTTGGGCACTACAACAGGGCGGCGCTTAGATGGGGGAGTAACCTCCTCATCATTCTCATCATCATCAGCAGCAATAGATTCTGGATCACTTTCTTCTTCTGAGGACTCGCTGCTGTCCATTTTGCTCCTCTGCAAGAAACACAAAAATATTGTCAAATAATCATTATTAATTGTCGTTATGACTTTACCATTATTGTTATCACAACTAATACTATTTTAGAATTACTACCATCGTTGTTGTTATTATTATTATATATATTTTTATTTTTTTAAGAACTTTTTAAAGAATTAGGAATTTAGGAATACGAGATTTTATTCTTTTTAACTTGTTTCTTTTTAATATCAGAGACGGATAATTCTTTTTGTAATGACTTAATTTAAAACTCTGGCTTGCCTGCAAGAGTTATTGATCCCATCTGAGCCGCAAGGAATGTATTTGGAAAATCGTTATTAACACAGTGATTGTATTTTTATGATTTATATAATTCTTAATGTTGTACAGTGCTTAATTCTTACTTCAAATATTTCTGCAAATTATGTACATATTTTTAAAGTTGAATATAATTTATTATTATTATTATTATTATTATTATTATTATTATTATTATTATTATTATTATTATTATTATTATTATTATTATTATAAGTGTTATCACTATCACAATTGCCATCATTACCATTATAATTAGCACTGTTCTGTCGTTGTCTACATTATTAATGTTACTATTTTAAATGGTTATACGTGTTTTTCACAATGAGCTTATGAGTGGGAACCCCTTCACTGCCACCGTGAAACCGCTTTCATAAATAACAATCTCAAGTGTAACCATTCACACTTAAGCTCTTCAGTTCTTAGCTGTAACTGCTCCTAAGAGCTCTTAAGCTCTTAGATGTAACTGGTCCTTTCTCGTCTACGTTTTTTCTTGAATGTCGGTCTCGGTCGGTATTAGGATTGAAAGCACTGTGGCTATCGCAGGGCCAAGAGTACACGCGTGGAAATGTTCGAAACCGTTCATTCCAAGCCGTTTCGGACAACGGGGTCAGGGGAGGAAACAGAACAACTTCAGCTGTTAGAAAAATGTTCATAAGACGGTAAAAAACTAGTCGAGTTTGCAGATAAGACTTCGTAGATCTGGGGTATGCAAAATGCTGACTTTCGACTGGTTGCAATAAGTGACCACGCTCTTTGTACGTACTATTGCTCCAGTCCCTTACGCATAGACATTCATTCTCTTTATGAAGGATTCGCTCGAGAATGTGACCTGCCTTGAAGGCTACGCTACGATTACCTTATGACGGCTTTTCAGTCATCAAGTTGACCATTTCAACCACACGACTTGAAATCCAAATCGAAAGTCTGTAAACGAATTCCTTTACCGTAACCACTCTGACCGCTGAACACTAGTTGTGCGATGTTTTTGAGTGGACTACCGTGGCAGGAAAAACTTGCAGTGAAGGGGTTAAGAATAGCCCGTGTCAAAGCAACTGATCTAGTGCTTGGTGAAGTGCAAATAGCCCTCTCCTTCGCAGAGGCCCCTTTACTGCTAGCGAAAGGAACGCTGGGAGGAGAGGTTTCCAGACTCTCATTTCCATTCGCCACTTTAGAAACGAGAAGGGAACTGGAGCTGAAATATGTCCCGCAAATGTTTCTGGGATGGTTACTGGGGACGCCCCGGTCAGCTATTAGTCAAATTTTTCTCTGTCCCAAGTAACAGTCCCAGAAGTCTTTGCGAAAGTTAACTTGGCCCAGTTTCCTTCTCGTTTCTAAAGCAAAGTAGCGAATTCGCTCTCCGCGGTCCGCGCCGGCGCGCGCGCGCCTGCTTTGAATATTCGATCTCGCTTATTATTCTTTTTTCTGGCTGAATGACTGGAGCCTCTGCGGAGTGTCGAACAAAATATGCTTATGGTGATGTACGGCCGCTGAGAAGAGGTAGCCATTATGGTGGCTCGGCTGGGCACATAATCCCAGAAATGGCCGAACTTGAGTTCCAAATTTGTCACTTAGTGCAGTCACAACAAACCGTGTAGTGTAGTTTCTCGAAGGATTGATTACGTTCCACTATAAAAGGTGGTTCTGACCTCCAAATATGTGGATACTAACGTCTAATGAGATGTCAGAGTAAAAACAATTCACATGGAGAAGCGGGACAATGAATGATTGAATATAACAAAGATGGTATACCATTCTAAAGTAACGAAAACTTAGATTTCATTTTTTTTTCTTGCATTAGCCCAGCCTACAGATCAAATGTAAGTGTAAGGCCAGTTGTATAAGGTTTCGATGTCACTGAAACCGTACCTATGCTGTAACTATGAGACAAAATGTGAAAAGAGACTGTCTAAACATGCAACTGGTCACAACTTGGCCGTAAATGTTTTGCAGCCACACCGAACCTACGCGAGGTCCATAGCACCTTACTAATTCGGCCATAGTCGTTTGGAATCATTGATATGTTTCAATTTATCATGCCTGAAGTGCACGTAATTTGGCGGATTGCATATAAACGCATAGGTATTGGTATGAAATTTTCGTATTTGGCCAAACGTTTGGGCGTTTATGAAGAAGAATGTCGTGAATCAGCAAAACTAAGTTTGTTGAAGCGTGGAGTAGGAGAAATGATGAGGCCGTGAATCTATCAGCCTTTGAAATGACTAACCACTAACGAAAAGTCGTATTTCAGCTGTTACTGAAAATGAAATGGCAAATCCGGAACTGGTATCAAGGCAGCATAAAATGTACTGTAATTAGAACATCTCATCTCCCATCAGTGGAAAAACTGTACAGTGTGGTCATAAAAAAACTCCATTAGAAATTAAGATCATTTAAACATGGTTCAATCTTTTTTTTTTCCAAGTTTTTCACATGACATGTTGGTTGTCTTTAGGATTGTGCTTTAAAGCATTCTTAACAGAAAGAAGGCATTCTCTCTTGTACGAGTAAAGCGGTTGAAAATCAAAAAACAATAATACTTAACTAAACGAGGGGAGTAGAAACAATGACAGACGTAGGAGAGTTAGAGAAGGAGTGTTGGATAGGTAAACGAAGTAAAACTATTTGTTTTGATAGTCTATACTGTAAGAGAAATTGGCTGGCCTAACAGCTAAAGTTACTTAATTACAATAAGCTTTTTATCCATTATTTTGAGGTCATCCTTGGAGTTTTTAACAAATTCTTGCAGAGCATCAGTCGAAACGCCAGTGCAGGAACGAAGGTCAAGGCGTGCAATGGAAGGGAAAAGCTTCAAAAAAGACAAACATTTATCAGTGAGACTGGCACAACCACTAAGAAGGAACTCATTGATCAAAGCCTGGCCACAGACACTTTCAATATCTTGATCAGTTATTCCAGGGCAGAGGCTCAAATCGAGCTTGCGCAAATCCGGGCAATGCTGAACCAAAAGACGTAGAGACGACCCGGTCACGTCACATCCGGAAAGAAATAAAGTAGTTAGCCTGTAAAACGAGCTTTTGCTCTCCACAGAACCTGCGCGGGAGTCAGAAACAGGCAAGATGATTTCCTTCAACAACGAGTCAGTGATTCCCACGGACCAGCTTAGTCCAAGGACTTTGAGCCGAGGGCAGACAACAGACGAGAGAGCATAAACTGTGGCTTCTGTCGTGCCACTTAGATAAAGCTCCCGGATTCTCGGCAGGCGGTTCAGCAGCCACTTCAGTTGTTGAAATGTAACGTTTGTCCAGCTAAGGTTCAGCGTGGTCGGCTGACGTCGAACAATTCCCTTGAGAGCAGCAGCGCTGACGACTTTTTTCTCTGATAGGTCAATAACTGACCAGAGCCGTCGATCCATGCACCAGCGGTTCCATGTACGACATACGCGCATGCACACGCACAACTCAGGTTGCGAGAGAAAGCTGAACACTTCAAGCCAAAGCTGACGGCCCATTACATGATTTTGGTCATTTACTAACATAAAAGACTGAGGCGGAGGAGAAATCGGGCACGGACGAACCACGCGCTTGGGTTTCACTTCCGGCGGGGGACCAACAGGGAGTTTAGGCACTACAACAGGGCGGCGCTTAGATGGAGGAGTAACCTCCTCCTCATTCTCATCATCATCAGTAGCAATAGATTCTGGATCACTTTCTTCTTCTGAGGACTCGCTGCTGTCCATTTTGCTCCTCTGCAAGAAATACAAAAATATTGTCAAATAATCGTTATTAATTGTCATTATAATTTTACCATTATTGTTATCACAACTAATACTATTTTAGAACTACTACCATCGTTATTATTATTATTATTACTATTACTATTATTATTATTATTATTATTATTATTATTATTATTATTATTATTACTATATATATATTTTTTTATTTTTTTTAAGAACTTTTTATAGAATTAGGACCGTTTAGGAATACGAGATTTTATTCTTTTTAGCTTGTTTCTTTTTAATATCAGAGGCGGATAATGCTCTTTTGTAATGACTTAATTTAAAACTCTGGCTTGCCTGCAAGAGTTATTGATCGCATCTGAGCCGCAAGGAATGTATTTGGGAAATCATTATTGACACAGTGATTGTATTTTTATGATTTATATAATTCTTAATGTTATATAGTGCTTAATTCTTACTTCAAATATTTCTGTAAATTATGTTTGAATAAAATTTATTATTGTTATTATTATTATTATTATTATTATTATTAGTGTTATCACTATCACACTTGCCATCATTACCATTATAATCAGCACGTTGTCGTCGTTGTCTTTATCATTAATGTTACTATTTTTAATGGTTGTATGTGTTTTTCACAATGTGCTTATGAATGAGAACCCCTTCACTGCCTTCGTGAAACCGCTTTCATAAATAACAATCTCAAGTGTAACCATTCACACTTAAGCTCTTACATGTAACTGCTCCTTTCTCGTCTACGTTTTTCCCTGAATGTCGGTCTCGGTCGGTAATAGGATTGAAAGTACTATGGCTATTGCAGGGCCTAGAGTACACGCGTGGAAATGTTCGAAACCGTTCATTTTAAGCCGTTTCGGACAACGGCGTCAGGGGAGGCAACAGAACAACTTCAGCTGTTGGAAAAATGTTCATAAGACGGTAAAAAACTAGTCGAGTTTTCAGATAAGACTTCGTAGATCTTGGGTATGCGAAATGCTGACTCTCGACTGGTTGCAACAAGTGACCACGCTCTTTGTACGTACTCTTGCTCCAGTCCCCAACGCATAGACATTCATTTCTCATTATGAAGGATCCCTAAAATTACTTTATGACGACTTTTCGGTTATCAAATTGACCATTTCAACCACACGACTTGAAACCCAATTCGAAAGTCTGTCAAAGAATTCCTTTACCGTAACCACTCTGACAGCTGAATACTAGTTGTGCGATGTTTTTGAGTGGACTACCGTGGCAGGAAAAACTTGCAGTGAAGGGGTTAAGAATGTCCGTGACAAAGCAACTGATCTAGTGCTTGGTGAAGTGCAAATAGTCCCTTCCTTCGCAGAGGCCCCTTTACTGCTAGCGCAAGGAACTCTGGGGGGAGCAATTTCCAGACTCTCTTTTTCATTCGCCACTTTAGAACGAGAAGGGAACTGGAACTGAAATATGTCCCGCAATTGTTTCTGGGATAGTTACTGGGAACCCGCCGGTCAGCTATTGGTCAATTTTTTCCCTGTCCCAAGTAACAGTCCCAGAAGTCTTTGCGAAAGTTAACTCGGCCCAGTGTCCTTCTCGTCTCTAAAGCTAAGTAGCGAATTCGCTCTTCGAGGTCCGCGCCCGCGCGCGCCTGTTTTGAATATTCGATCTCGCTTGTTATTCTTTTTTTTGGCTGAATGACTGGAGCCTCTGCGGAGTGTAGAACAAAATATGCTTATGGTGATGTACGGCCGCTGAGAAGAGGTAGCCATTATGGTGGCTCGGCTGGGCACATAATCCCAGAAATGGCCGAACTTGAGTTCCAAATTTGTCACTTAGTGCAGTCACAACAATCACTACACAGAAAATCTGACTACTGTATCACATACTTAGCGGTGCTGTCCCGAGAGTTTTCTGAGGCGAAAGTTTAGCAGCACAGTCATCCTGTCGATTAGGAAAATGAGTTTGGAGATGAGTTTTTAGTTGACTTTGTTATTCAGGCCGTCTATAAACGTACAGTCCCTCTTCTCGTGGAAGCCGAACAGCCACCGGAAAAGTGAATGCAGCGTAGGGAATGACATGGATAAGTGAAACATGACAAATAAAACTTAACACGTGCCATAGTCACTCTCTGACTCAAAACTTAAACCACAGAGAGTGACTTGATGACTCAAAGCACGACGATCAAATGGAGACTGGATTATACGTCGCATTTCAGTCGCTTCAAAATCGACAGCGCCGACCTCGCTAACTGACTTAACAGCTAGCGAACATAGCCATGAGCGATATGAAGAGGGGGAAAGTTTCTCCTTTCTTTCATTATTCTTCTCCCGATTTCACCCCTTGTTTTCGTGGCGTCGACGCCAATGAAGCTTCCTTCTTTACGTCGCTCAAACGAAACCACCATCAACGCAGGCTGAGAAACAGCAATCGGCTACTTCCGAGTGCAAAATCCAAAATTCCTCAATTCAAAAGTGCAAAACCGTAGATACACAAACGAGTTTATTTGCATGAAAATAAAGTATTTATAACAGAAACCTCGCACTTATCTTCGTTTTTTAAGCAAAGGATCGGGGTATTTCGGAAATGGTTTATTAACGCATTTAATTTGCACTGGGTACTAAGCAACAAGCTGCAATTGCGCGTCAGTTGACTTCTTTTAATCAGACGTGGGCTGTAATGGNAACAATCACTACACAGAAAATCTGACTACTGTATCACATACTTAGCGGTGCTGTCCCGAGAGTTTTCTGAGGCGAAAGTTTAGCAGCACAGTCATCCTGTCGATTAGGAAAATGAGTTTGGAGATGAGTTTTTAGTTGACTTTGTTATTCAGGCCGTCTATAAACGTACAGTCCCTCTTCTCGTGGAAGCCGAACAGCCACCGGAAAAGTGAATGCAGCGTAGGGAATGACATGGATAAGTGAAACATGACAAATAAAACTTAACACGTGCCATAGTCACTCTCTGACTCAAAACTTAAACCACAGAGAGTGACTTGATGACTCAAAGCACGACGATCAAATGGAGACTGGATTATACGTCGCATTTCAGTCGCTTCAAAATCGACAGCGCCGACCTCGCTAACTGACTTAACAGCTAGCGAACATAGCCATGAGCGATATGAAGAGGGGGAAAGTTTCTCCTTTCTTTCATTATTCTTCTCCCGATTTCACCCCTTGTTTTCGTGGCGTCGACGCCAATGAAGCTTCCTTCTTTACGTCGCTCAAACGAAACCACCATCAACGCAGGCTGAGAAACAGCAATCGGCTACTTCCGAGTGCAAAATCCAAAATTCCTCAATTCAAAAGTGCAAAACCGTAGATACACAAACGAGTTTATTTGCATGAAAATAAAGTATTTATAACAGAAACCTCGCACTTATCTTCGTTTTTTAAGCAAAGGATCGGGGTATTTCGGAAATGGTTTATTAACGCATTTAATTTGCACTGGGTACTAAGCAACAAGCTGCAATTGCGCGTCAGTTGACTTCTTTTAATCAGACGTGGGCTGTAATGGCTCGGTCTGTCCATTTGTCTTTTAACTTGATGATTGGTGATTCAAGTCTTGAAGAAAGGTTCACAAACCCTTCTGCGTTAAGAGATGACCAGACATAAGTCTCACAGCAGTATGGGAAAATAAGTGACATTTACAAGACTGCTCGACACTATCACGAGTCAGAAATCTCTAACATCGTTTTTCTGAAATGCGACGTACAAATTCAAGATTTCAATCAGAACGCTTTTATCGAGGCTCGTTTCCACGTAAAAGAGACTAGTACGAGCAAATCTTTCGTAATTCAGTCTTACTTGCGAGGATGTTAACAAGTAGCTGTAATTATACACATATCCATGAGAACTTTAGGAAACAGGTCTTATTATGCATGTAGCGTCAAGCGCATGTCCTTTTAGATCGTCAGGTAACGATCCTATCAACCTCGTTCCCAGTGTCTCTCTTTTTTCCGTCTCCTGGAGGGAGAGTGGACAATACGATCCTGGGAACGAGGCTGCGATCCTCTTAAAAAGTATTATACGAGGTTATGCAACATTCGCATCATGAAATTGCACGTGAGATACGCTCGAGTCGATTAAACAACAATCCTTTTGCACTCTTGACTACTCTTCTGGTCTTTCGAAAAGCATAAAATCTGGTCAAGAATAAATTAATTTAGTATTTGTTTTTTAAAAGCAGCCAGTCTGTATTATGGAGCCAGTTCAACTTAATGCTACTTATCACTTACCGACTGTTTCTCACTTCCACTATGATGCCCTCTTTTAATCTAAAACAGCCACGAAACAAACGGAAATGAAAATCTCCTCCTGACCAATAAAGTGAGAGGAGACTTACGAGAACTCGCTCTGAGGCAGTAGAACGAGCGATAGAATTGGCGCGAGAAAAATCGCCTCTCACGAATATATTTCACGCGCGTCGCATTTTCTGTGGACTCGCTTGTTTCCCAATCTTCCGTAAACAAGCCTACAAATCAATCTTTCTGCACGTTATGTGATCTTTTTGTTCATTTCTTAAAGAACGGAAGAATTTCTGAGATGAAGTGGATGTAAAATAATTGCCAGCCTTCCAACCTTTCTGAAAACTCCTCAGTTAATTCGACGTATATTTCTAGTTGTAGTTCACCGTTAAGAAAAGAATAAAAACCAGTGACATACCTTTTTTGAAGAATCTTTAGAGGGACTTGCCTATGGTAAGAGAAAATGTAACTGATGAGACGAAAGCATTTCTGAGTTATTTAAAATCCTAACACTAATCTCGTAAAGTCAAATACAAAAAACAGAAAACAAAACCACAAGAGAAGCGAACAAAGCAAGGAACCCTGGCGCAGCTGACTGGGAGGGGATTGTTAAGGACGAAAAGTGCTGCAGGAGGAACTGCAGAGCAGCTGGACACTTAAGCGTTTGGATCCCTAGCCCACGAGCAAGCTCTTAAAGCAGCACGCGAAAGGAGACGCGTTTGCTAGCAGGCTATTGGATCCTCCCCTGCTTATGATTCATTTCCTGGCCAATCAGAAGCCGGGAATTCAAATGCTTCTGAAACTGGTTTGGTGACAGGAAGTACCCAGAAGTTTTACCATTCTTCTCGCAAACTTTGCTGAGAATGATTTCGCCCGTGGATATTTTGTCCCGATTAGCTGCCCTTGCGTCTTTCGCAGTGGGCTTGTTATTACCTTTCGTTTCTTCGCAGGTGAGAGTTGTAGATCCCCGACAGACGAAGCCTAGAGAGAGAAAATAGTATAAGAAGGTCAGAAAAAGTTGCGTGTTCCTCGTTTTAATTTGAAAATAGGGTGCAGTACTTTTGCGTGAGTAAGAGCTAAAAATATTTCCAAAACGCTGTTTTTTAAGTGTTCAGCCTCTGTTTTACCTTATGCATTGTGTGGTAAAAATTAGCAGTTTTCATTTGAGCGCCAAATCATCGCTATGTTCTGTGACTGGACCTCGCCCCACTTTCCAAGGCAACCATAAGCCTCCCGCGTGGAGAAACGAAAAGGGGAAGAAAACAAATAACACAGTACGGGCAAAGTTTGTTCATTAGTAGAATTATGCGCTGTACATGCAACGCATAATTCTGACTGGCTCTATTTTTCCTTAACCAGTTCTCTTTTCACTAGTTCTCCTCGCGCGGGGGGTGGCGCCGGGAAGGGGAATGGATACCCCGCGCTCTCGTGTGTTTTGCTTATTTACTATCTTTCGGGAAAAACAATCGACCTTTCGTAGTCTAAAGTCTAGTCGATAAGACGATCCCGCAAATATTAACTTAGTGAATAACTCTTGTAACACACACTTACAGATGAGTCCTTACAGCACTTGGGGCACTCCCAACAGTTGTTAATCTCTGTAACCATTTTACAGCGCCCCTTGGTGTCACCCAGACAGGATGGATGAACAATCTCACCACAGAGCCTACACTCCATTAACGGGTGCTCTTCTTTGTTCACTTCTTTGCATACCAAACAGCGCACACAGGTTGGCAAGTTGGGCTGTAATGAAATAACAAATAACTGACTCTATAAACTTTTCACCCTTAACGAGCAAGAAACTGAAATTAAACAAAAATCCTAAATTCCCGTCTGCAAATAATTCCGTTCAAAGTACAGCCGAACCCCGCTTTACGGACACCTCATTATCACGGACAGTTTGATTTGTCCCTGGGGAAAAAAAATCTCCTACATTTCCTCTAAATTCAATCCGCTTAATAGTACATTCCGTTAATACGGACACTATGGCTTAGCGGGGTTTGACCGTACCACCAAAACCCCAGGGGATTCCGTCTAGGCTCCAAATTCAATCTACATTACCCGTCTCCGAATTGACTGAGAGTGAATCGAAAGACTTCTACGGGAGTATAATGGCAGCAGTGATGAATATTTTCAACTTCCTTTCTGAAATAAACCGTCCAAAATGCAGCATCTTCCACTCATGGAGACAGGTTTAGGAAGTCTAAGTCTGGGGAGGAAATCCTCTTAAGGGATCATTCAATAAAAACCTCTTCATCTGTCCGTTTATATGGTGCCATTCGTCAGTTTACAATATTTGACAAAACAAAAATTCGATTGTTTCCCAAATTCCGATGTTTGATAATCTTAAGAGAAAAAGGGCCACAAAAGGGCACCCGAAATGGCCACAAAGGTGTTAACAAACTAAGAGGTAATCTGCCTCCTTTGAAGCCTCAATCCTATCTCTATTTACTCCCGTATTATAGCCAAATAACAGTTGATCGTACATCAGTACAAACTCGCAGTTGACAGGATTGTTTCATTCTTCCTGGTCCTCCAAACTTCTTCATATCTTTACAAGTTTTGCACTCGCCACAGTCCTCTCGCTGGCAATTCTCGCACTGCCCACATCGAGTGCGTCGACGTCTTATTCCTGGGCCGACCTTTGTACCAATCATTGGTCCTCTGGATACGTGCTTTTTCATCACCGACTTTTTCTGTAGAGAAAAAAGCAAGTAAATACCATGAACCCTTCTTAGTTATCCAATAAAAGCGCAAGAAAACACGGGACTGTGTTGCTGTACTCTTGTTTTGAGAGCTATTAAGAGTCTTAGGGCATTTACATTGCTCAGAACTAGCCAGTCAGACCAGTTCATTCGTATTGCGAATTTCACTATTACTCAGGACTGCCAAGTCACATAAGTCGATCGGATAGTATGCAGCTCTTTAGAACCTCTAATTTCAATTTCTAAATAGTATGCACGGCAGTGATGAGTTTTTAGCGAAAACCTTCGAGAAAGCACATTTCTTTTCCAAATGAACTGTTCGGCTGGGCAGTTAAGAAAGTGATTTGCCCTTCGTTCATTGTAGTGGAATAACTGGAGGGATTCGAATTTTATCTTACATGTCTACTCGAGCTTGCTAACAAGGCTTGGAAAAGTACCTTAGAACTCTTCAGTTTTTAAATCGTTGTATTCTGTAATGCATGTTCAATGTGATTTTTCTACTTTTTAGCAATTTTCTTAAATCATATATTGTAAGGTCATTTTCACTGCATATATTTTATCGTTTTGGTCACGTCAGGAGGCCCACTGGTTTGTTAGCGTTTTCACGCTATGTGCTCAACCCTCGGTACATAGAATTGTTCATAGCAATTAAAGATATTGCGTGACAGTTCAGCTGCGAGGAATATTACGTTACCTGAGGTTGGTCAATTTGTAGCAGATACTGAATACCCGAGGCTGCTAGAGCTGGATCGTCATCTCGGTGGAGGACAAGCAACTCCTGAGTGAGCAACACAAAACTGGTGTAAAAATGCACACAGTCCAGGCCGATTTTTAAGGAGGTCCGTATCCAAGTGAAAGAGGACATATTTTTTTCCGGGCGTTAACACAAAGAATACAATAGCAGCGATTAACGCCCTGTTGCGCAAAAAACTTTTTGTCTCTGCAGTTATCCAAATTCGTTTTTTTTTTTTTGGGGGGGGGGGGGGGGGGGGGGGGGGTTTTAAAAGCTTGTGTGGTTTTTGATAAAAAAAAACATAGGGTTACCGTTTCCCCCCCTGGGGTTTTGAAAAGGGGGGCCCAGGGTTGGGGGGGGGGAAATCTGCACACGCGGGGGGGGAGGGGCCGGGGGAGAAAGGGGGCCCCCCCTTCCCGGGGAGACACTTTTTCGCTCCCAGCTGTAATAATTGAAACACAAGAAGACTCTTGTTTTTCGCGGGATTAAAAAAAAAAAAGATAAGGCCCCTGATGTCAGTCTTTTTGATAATAAATTTTTTTTTGTGTGCTTTTGCCTTTTTTTTTTTTTTTTTTTGGGGGGGGGGGGGAGGGGGGAGCGGGTTTTAGAAGCTTAGTGACTTCTGATGATAAACAGACTACGAGTTACCGTTACGCCCGCTGGGTTATCAGAACGAGCGACACATGCTAGCGTGCGTGAAAATCGTCACCAGCGGAGAGAGACGTCACGCGGAAGAAAGGGGACCCTCCTTTCCGCGGGTAACTGCTTTTCACGCCCGCTCGTGTATGTCGCTCGCTCTACTATCCGCGAGGAAATTGAGGAATTCCCCGTAGTCTAGGTTTTAACCATGAAAATATGTGATAATAACCTGGACTTCTGGCTTGGGGAACAGTATGGCTTATCTCTAGGATTATAGTGGGAGTTAGCCTTGGTTGCAGGCATTCGAAAGGGACGAGGAAAGGGCAAAATGGGGTGCGCGAGGGAGTCCTTCGAGTTCTATCGCGCCAATTTTTCTCTTTTCCTTGCTGTAGCAAACACCTGCCACGTATTTCTTGATGGGACAAGGTCTACTTGGGAGTTGAACTTGTTTTTGCTCCCTGGAAATACTCCCTCCACCGAAACCAGAATTATAGAATACCGATTCGATCGGGAAGTTTCACAGCAGGGAGACTGCCACGTTTAACTCTCGTAATACAAGTCGATTTTTTTATACTGTTATTAGAATTATTATTCATTCTTTCGTTGCTTTAATTTTTGAGCAAAATGAACTGCCCGTTTTCTTGAAGCACAGTGAAGAAACATTGGCATGTAAAGCTACTAAAAAGAGCCTTGACTCGTACCCAGACGTTCTTTATCTAAAAAAATTGAGTTTGGAGGGATCGAACGTCAGTGAAACGGGTCATACGCGGATTCATAACGTGCCATAAAGGGTGCATTCTCGCCCCCAGAGCGTCCTCTCTCTCTAAGCCGGAGAGGGCCCTTCACACGAGGACAAAAAGAGCAAACAGCCAATACTTCAGCAAAGCCAGTAAATAGAACATTCTTTTACACCTACTGATTGTTCTGTTGTGCTGGGCCAAAGGATTGACGATTGTCTACATTGGGGCCGTAGGGTTATGGGAAGAGATTATACGATCTCATCGAATCAAGCTTAATTTAATAAAGGGGGAGGCTCACGTGACACAAACCTCCAGTCTCTCCAATATTTTATCAGGATCTTGCACCTTTTCCGGAACGTTCTTTTTAGCCAGAGGCCATGTTCTTAGTTTCTGCATTAGCTTATATAACCCATCCATTTCAAACCGGGTAAGGTAGACAGCAGACCACGCAGTCTTCTCCTCCTCTTTCACTTCAGGTGAATTCTCATTCTCATCATTTTCTTCGGGGTGTTGTCCGTTTATTTCTTCGCTATGCTTTGCTTTTTTAGGAGTTCTCTTTTTTCTGTTATCTCCTTCACTCTCCTCCTCTTTCTGTACTACTGCCTTTTCTTTTTCTTTGTTCTCCTGTGCTTGGCGGGCGATCTCCTCGTTCTTCGCCACTCGGCTTGATCTTCGGCGGCTCGGCGTCCCCGTTGCGTCTTCTCCAGCAGCATCTTTCTTCGCAGGAGAACTGGTTTCTTCGCTCTTTTCTTCGCTCTCAGTTTTGACTGGTCTTTTAACACCAAGTGTTTCTTTTTTCTTGGGATTTTCTGCACCCTGTTTTCTTGAGTCTTTTTTCGGTGTCTCGATTAGACCTCGTTCTTTTATGTCTCGCTCCAAAAGCCGAACATACTTGTCAGCGGCATACCACATAATTTGCGGCAAGAATGGATATCGAAACTTCAGGGGAACCTGGTGAAAAAAGCAAAATGGTTCAGAATTAGAAGTTCGGCTTTCCAAAACTAACTTAAAGTTGCTTGGTTTAAATGCTTTTTTTTTGCCGTTTGACTTCCAGTTCTACTTCACTCATTAGAGAAATTTGCCACCAGGCTTCTCGTGAAAACCCACCAAAATGACCAGAAAGAATAAGATGAAAAAAGTCCCTTGCTTAAAATCAGACTGTTAGTACAAACCGGTGAGGAGATATAAGCACCGGGTTGCTCTGATGACTCCATACAAATCTTCTAAAATTGGCTTGGACAGAAGCGTTAACGATCCAGGGGCCCGTTTCTCGAAAGTCCCGGTAACTTTTCGGGCCCGAAATCAAATATTCACATCGAAATATAGAGAATAAGAGCGCGGGTACTGGCTAGCAAACTACTCCATTTTGTTTCACTAACTGATAGTTTTATCATGCTAGATGCAAAACTATTGAAACCTCGATCTTTAATGTAAACGGAGACAGCTAACCAGGGGCCCGTTTCTCGAAGCTCCCGGTAATTACTGGGCACGTTAAGCTGTTTTCTTTTCCATTTTAGAAGGGAGTTTTAAAAGTTTTGAAAATTATACAGTAGAGTTATTAGTTAACGAAACAAAATGGACTTCATTAGAGGTCAGAACACACCCTACTTTTCTTGAGACTTTGATTTAAAAATATGATTCCGGGCCAGTTAAGTCACCGGGACTTTCGAGAAACGGGCCCAAGAAAGTCCCGATGATTAACGGGCCCGTTAAGCTGTTGCCGTTTACATTAAATATCGAGGTTTCAATAGTTTTGCATCTAACATGATAAAACTATCAGTTAATGAAACAAAATGGAGTATTTTGCTTGCCAGGACCCGCACTCTTATTTTTTATATTTGGATTTGAATATTTGATTTCGCGCCCGAAAAGTTACCGAGACTTTCGAGAAACGGGCTCCTGGAGCCCGTTTCTCGAAAGTCCCGATAATTAACGGGCCCGGTAAGCTGTCTCCGTTTACATTAAAGATCGAGGTTTCAATAGTTTTGCATCTAACATGATAAAACTGTCAGTTAATGAAACAAAATGGAGTATTTTGCTAGCCAGGACCCGCTCTCTTATTCTTTATATTTCGATTTGAATATTTGATTTCGGGCCCGTAAAGTTACCGGGACTTTCGAGAAACGGGCTCCAGGCCCGTTAATTATCGGGACTTTCGAGAAACGGGCCCCAGGCCTATTTTAGAAAGATTTATATGGCGTCACCGGAGCATGACGTTGCCTATTATCTCCCCGCCAATCTGCACCAACAGGCTGATTTTGAGCAAGTGAACATGTTTCATCTTGTTCTTTCTGGAAACGCCAACCGATCCCATAATTTCACAAACGTAGTGTCTGTGACGCTACCACTCCTCTTGTCTATTCTCCACGTCAATTTTCCAAGGGGAGAGCTAAGTCTAACGCAAGTCACTTACCAGAGAGATGGTAGCCTTACATTCTATTTTTGTCTCGTACAAATATGTAAATTATGTGGAACAAGTCTTTTTGCGAATTAAGGCGAATGCGCGAGAAGCGAGAATTAAATAAAGATAGTAGTAGTATATGTTATTGTTGTCTGAACAACAACACTGCTAGAAGATAACTCTGTAGTCAACCTCACAAGTTACCTTCGTACTGTCTTCGATCTCGCTGATCTTAATTTGTCCTGGGATGTTAAAGCTGTGAATGAAATTGCCACCAAATACCAGCGAGTCTTCTGGAGTAAAAACCGCATGGATCCACCCTGCACAACACGAATAACCAATAAAATGGTAATGCATGACATGCAAAATACAAGATTCACTCTGCAATGCATAACTTGCAGCCTAGTCCATACGCCATTTGCACATCTCCCATAATGCACCTTATTTGTCCCCCAAAATGCTGCATAAGCACTGTTTTCAATTTCTCTTGGGACAGCTGTAATACTCAGGAGAAAGGAAAAACAAAGGTTATGCAAAATTTTGGAGGGCAAAAAAGGTGCATTATGGGAGATGTGCTAGTGGCAAATAGGCGTTATCGGCTCCGTAGGTTGATCCTGGACTCTACCGTCAGTTGTGACGTCACCGAGAGACACTTGCACCCTTTCCCTGGCTTCGCGCGGACAACAGGGCAAGAGAGAACGCTAAGGGACTACGCTGCATAAAACGCACAACAACAAAAACTATATTGCAAACTACAATGTGGATAAGGCCACGAAAATAATAAACTTAACTGAAATTGGAAGAGAGTGGTCAGTTACTTCCTTAAGTAAATCAGTAAAAACGGAGGGAATGTTAAACGAGTATCTGTAAGTTTGATAACATATGGCTGAGGTTTAAGCTCCAACGTTGTCCACAGAACGTAAAAAACGTTGGAAGAATGAACGAGCCTTTCAATGAGTTTACGCTTCCTATTTTTGGAATAAACTTCCTTTTTCATTCCTTGATGATAGAAAAAGCCTTACTCGTTTATCGAAGAAGACTTGACCAAAAAAAAAACAAAACAAAACAATGCATTACACAAAAACACCAACTCAAAAATGTGCAAGAAAAAAAAAACGGAGAAAAAAAAGAACGGTAAAAGAGTTCGTTTCTACAAAAACTGTAAAAGGCAACCGAGCGGTTGAAAAGCATAAAAATGGTCACAAAGGGTTAACGTTTGAATCGTAAATTACGTTTTTTTCTTTTAATGGAAGCATGTTCACTTAAGCCTAGGCCAGACGTCGAACTTTTCATGAGGCGAGCCAAACTCTAATAATTTGGGTCGACCTAAATTAAGTTAGGATCGTCTGTTGGGTCAGACGTCGAACTTAAGACGCGTTGAATTTAACTCACTAAGTTTGGTTCGTTTCATGAAAAGTTCGACGTTTGGCCTAGGCCTTAAATGATTATATATTGTAGTTATCGCGGAAGTTTGATATGAACGGGGGCTTAAAAAGTATAATTCATTTATTGACAACATGGAAAAGTGTTAAAACTTATATTGCCTCTTACCTGTAGGAATTAAGAAGGTATCTCCTGTTTCCAAGTAAGCGCGACAACATTTCTCAACTTGGTCGCCAAAAAAAACGTTTTGTTGTTTTCCAGATAACACCCACTGCTCATACAAATGAACATTCTTTTCCGTGGGTGGAATAAGCCAAAAAACCTACAGAACACCCACAATATGAATTTCACACAAGTTGCATTACCGTAAATCCTCTATAAAGCTCCCCGGGAGTTATTTGAGAAAAGCGAGGGGCTTACCTAAATTAGTGAATATGACGTTATCAATTCTCCATAAAAAACTAGAACGTAAAGTGGAAAAGCTCAGGTAGATGAGGTTAGAGGTCATGTAGCTGAAGATCGAAAGCAAACCCGAACTGGCAGTACGTGAATAAACCATACCGGTTCAGTCCACACGAATTATTGTCGTGATTAATTAAGGTCCCTCCTAATAAGAGGAAGTGGAAGGGGGGCTTAATAACTTTCTTCCCCTAAAAATGGGGGAAAGGAAAAATGACCCAGGAAAGGAAATATGACCTTGTTTCTTTACAAACATACCACTTCAAAACCGGATGATATTGAAACCAATATTATGGCCTCAAATATTTCAGCACGACTTTTTTTTATCATGTTGCTATCAAGGATTTGTTTTTATCGAACAAAAGTGTTGAGCTCCCAGAAAACCTACTTATAAGTGAAGGGGGTAAATAAACAAGACGAGAGTAGAATCCATCTCGTTTGTAATAATGGATCTAAAGTCTGTTTCGTTGCATAGAAAAGACTGCATGACCCTTCATTTACTGCACTTTATGAATGTCCAAAACCGTTGCAGTGAAATCAGTCGAACATTTTGACCTTATTTCTTAGATCTATGACGACTCCTTTTCATTGATTACCAGCGGCTGTTCGGGTAGCCTGCGCGAGCCACGCGAGCGTGCGTGCGCGTGTACTTTTCACGGTATACCCCAAATAGAGAGTTTGCTCGCAGCTCTATTGTTCGGGAAAAAGAACCCGCACTCATCCCTTTGAAAGAAGCTCTCTCGATAAGGAACAAAGACCGGACTCTGGCGTACGGCGAAAATTGAGCCTAGGCCTGCTACGTAATGCCATAAAAAATGAGTAAACGGCGGAAGCGGGGGGAGGGGGGGGGGGGGGGGAATATATAAGAAAGAAAAACGACGCCGATCACAGCTCAATAAACGCGTCACAAAGGGAAAGGAGACCAGGGAGGCGTGGGGGGCAAGGAGAACAAGGAGCTGAGGCAGGAAAAAAAAAGAAAAAAAAGGGGGGGGGGGGGGGGGGGGGGGGGGGGGGGGGGGGGTGTACTATTCAAATGTAAGCCAAACGAGAGGCATCACTTTCTTCGGACAATGCTGTAATGGCGAATTTCCAGTAAAGGAGTTAAAAAACCTCACCTTCTTGCCCCTCATAATGTGGTACCATACAGATGTTCCGCCAAAATCGATATGAAAGTCCGTGTAGCAGCCGCCCACACTCATTAACACATACCTGACAAAAAAATAAACGGGTCAAAACTACCTTAAGTCGACCCCCTCAGAAAGAAGAAAAAGTGTAATGGATAATGGCAGTAACTTATAAGGGGTTGTTTCTGATAATGGCAGCTGTCCCCTCACGGAGAATGATTCATGAACGTGGATACTAGCAGCATTTGAGGGAAAAATTACCAACTTACTACATTAATGTTTTTTTTTCTCATCCTGAGCATTATATATCTTGGCATAACTGTACTGCATTACGTACAGTCGACTCCCGATAACTCGAACCTTCAAGGGAAATTGAAAAAGACTTCGAGCTATCGGAAGTTCAAAAACCGGAAATGAGGAAAAACGGTTTTCAGACAATCACATTAAATTGTAGTGGTGACAAGCGCGACAGCTAATCTCGTGGATGGGGAAGAAATGCAATGCAAGTAGCATGCACCCTTCACTTCAAGGGCAGCAAGAGATATTATTTTTGAAAAAGTAATTTAGCATTTTAAACAACAAAACTTGATTAATATACAGGGCTGTACAATATCTACACTGGACTAACAAAAAGTAAAGACAAAGAATATACGGTTGATATTTTTAAAAAAAATCATTGTTTCGGACTACAGTACACAACAATTTTTTAAAATCAATTTGTGACGCGCTTTAAACATGGTACGAGTTATCGAGGGTAAAATATTGTAGAAATGATCTGAAGGGAAACAAAAATTACTTCGGGTTAGCAAGAAGTTCGAGTTACCGTCCGAGGGTAAAATAACAGTGAATGTACGAAGGAAATCCAGAGGAAATTGACTTTGGTTCGAGTTAGCGCGAGGTTCAAGTTAGCAAGGGTTCGAGTTATCGGGTGTCGACTGTACATAATGTTGCGGTTGAATTTTATGACATCAAATGCTGAAATAAAATACTTTGGGAGAGTCCAAAATCGAATTCAGGACTTCAGATCATACGGATTCTTCATGTCCAACAAACGGTTCACTACTGTCTGATTTTTTTCCTTTAATTTCCTTTCTTTTCTTTGTAAAGAGAAAAACGAGCCAACGGGAAGTATAAAGTTGAAAGGAACTTTCTTTTTAAATACATTCCCACACGATCGAAATATAAGGATTCCGTTTTACGAAGTGGCCCGTGTGAGAGTAGCTATAGCGCCCTACTGTTTTCAGGAAGGTCAAACTTTCAAGATCAAGTCATGGAATCAGATTTATTACTCATCACAAGATTGTGACATAATAAACGTCACATCTTTATCAAGATCATTTTCCCTGTTATTGTTTCGAGTAAAGGGCAAATTAACGTAATTAGGAAACCAAGTTATCAGATTACTATCAGCGATCAAATGATAGAACTCGACGAATGCATTTCTAAAATTTTAACCTAGGATGTTGGATAAAATTCCAGTCTGCCTAACATCTTTTGCTGTAGTACTATTTACTGGTTTATCTCCAACTTTTGGAAACGTGGATAAAATCACTCAGTGTGGGGATTTTCTCGTATTTGTCCTGCTAACTATTTCATGATGCGTGGTTCTAGCTAATTCTGCGGATATAAGTAAAAACAAGAGATAATTTACTGTTTTATTAAGCTATACATTGCGCCAGCCAAAACTCCCGGGGGGGGGGGGGAACTCCCATATTAAGGTGGCGGGATGCTTGTTGTCTCGCTTTGGGGTGTAAATTGCAGATTTTGCTCTCACTTAGGGTGTCTGGGATGGAAAGTCACTATATTTGCCCATTCAGGTATCGCTTAGTACTGTGCACAAAGAAGTTTACAAAAAATGACCCGACACTGACCCCACAGAAATCTCCCTTAGGGGTCTGTTTAAGCTTGAGCCACATCCACATTGGTCTCCATTAGGGGTTTAATTTGAATTTTCCCACGAGCATCCCTGTCACTTCTGTATGGGAGTCCCCCCCTCCCAACCCCCGGGCCAAAAAATCAAATGAATGCCGATCACTCTGAAAGTTCCCCGTATTATCTGCTAAACATTCGGTCCTACGTACTTCTTGCTTTTAGCGACAATCAATAGATAAAATTCAAAAACGAATCCACTGAAATAAAAGCTTTAATACTGTTATATTATACTGCATCTAACACGTGCCGAAAACACAAAAGGAAGCCCGGACTCGTGCCATATCACGGTATATCAAATTCAAAGTCACTCGACTGAAATAAAAGCCGTCTGAAGAGCTACCCATTAGTATTTTATTACATTGTGCGAGGAAGTTATAAGAATTTTGAGACAGTAAAAGAAGCCTATAGCCTTTCGAAAGTTATGGAGTAGAACCTTCCTGTGACATAATGCTGGCAGCATTGTTGCCTTTTATATTGTATTGTCATGCTAGACAAAGTGGCAATTCTTTGTTTTACAGCTGTTCATCATGCAATAGACTATAAAGTGTTTCTTAAACAAAAAAAACAAAACGTGATCGTTCAATTTAGTAAAGCCGGTTTGCATATGAAACTGTCGAGTATGACGTTTAACTTGAAGTTAGTTTGATGTCTGGGGTCTGGATAAAAATATTCAACGCTATCACGTGGATAAATTTCTATCCAGTAAATGACGCATTTGATTTTCCTAACACTAATCCGCTGGATAGTGATTTATCCAGTGGATAGTGCTATCCAGTGTCTGAACAACCAGGGCCTGAAGGAAAGGAGAAATTAGTAATTTCTTGCATTCCCGTTTACTATGCTGTATTACGTGACACACCCGGGGACCTCATCTACAAAGCTTTATAGGGGGAGGCCCCGCCCCGCCCAGAGGTCTAACCCCTCACCCTTTTATATACCACTTTTGACAGAAGAGGTGCCCATTATAGATATCTTCTATTGACAAATAGTGTCCCTTTAACATACCCACTTAAAACAATTTTCGTGTAACGTTTAATAAGTTGAAATAATATAGCCATAAGGAGCGTTTTTTCGTCTTAAAGCCTGAATAAGGTATCCCTTTCGGATGGAGCCGCCTACGGTATAGGCGGATATATAGAGAGTGCCCCCGGGAGGTTCTACTGAATTCCCTTCCCTTTGATATACTTGAAGCCTGAATAAGGTATCCCTTTTCGGGTTAAGCCGCTTGTAAAGAACATAGACAGTTCCCCCCGGGGGTTCTACAGCATCTGTGTCTGTGGATTACGTACTATTACGTAATTGTGACCAGTCATGAAAAGAAGTTTTACCTTTTCAAGAGTTTCTCATGATGTTGTTTATTACGCCGCATGTTAAAACGCTCTAGCTTAGGAGTCTCTGAACGAAATTCTTTTTCATTTGATCATTCAAACGAGAAGTCAGTTTTAGGAATGCTTCCCTATTGAGTCGTTTATTTTTCCGTTCAACACTTCAACACGGTCACAACTATATAACTTAGTCTAAACCACAACCAGAAAACAACGAACGCCGTAGCCCTTTTTTGCTGTCCCATTAAGTTTGTATCCTATATATTAAATGATACCATGAACATACGAAAGCTAATGAAGGACTTTCCTGACTTTCTAGTGGCTTTGTTTACAGATACAGGGACTAAGTCACGCTACTTTCTATCTTTTTGAAAGCTAAAAAATTGTTTTCGCAATCAATTTGTGTCATCTGGTGCAACGGATAGCAAGGATGTGCTCGGATTGAAACTTGAAAAAGTTGGCCCAAGTGTGGCCCAACTTTTCCAAGTTTTAAAGCTATGCCTGCAAAAAATCGCCCAAAAAATATAATGTTTAGTGTCCGTGATGAAATTCGTTTGACATCTTTTTCATAACAATACAGGAGCATTTAGTGTACGGGTGAAGGCATTCACTAAGTAGTGACTTCAGCACAGAATTGATCTAAAACAGCTTATCCTGGTGACATAGCCCTTTGAAGCTACACATTCTGGGTCTGTGGTGATGTCCCCAAGCTACTAACTGGTACGTCTTTCCTCTGCAGTTCAATAGTGAATACACTGTACAAATTGATACTAATCTTGAGTCTACAAATGAATATCCTTAACTGCAACAAGTCAAATGAAAGCTACAGAGCGTTACTTTTTTCCTTGAGCCGTGTTTTTCCCTTGCAAGACTATGAAATGGTTGCAGTTGTCGATGCGAGTTTATCATTCAAACATTTTTTGTGGTACAGGTAGTGTTTATTGAAGAACAAGTTGGTTTTACTTCTCTGTCTGTGAATGAAATTCTTAACCGTAATAACTCGCATGAAAGATAGCGACCAGCAATTCTTGTGGTCTTGTTTATTATGCCGAACACAGTGGAACAAGCTTCTGAGTTCGTGAGTGAAACCTGAAAATGTGCTCATTCGTATGAAGATCTAAGAAAGTTATTCGCGACGAACAGTACCTTCCGAGATATTCAGAGTTTAGAGCAGAATAAAGCAACAACGAAATAACGGAATCCTACCAAATGAATACACGTCTTTAACATTGCATACACTTGGGGTTAGACTAAATTTAAAAATTTTACCATCAGGCCAAATGAATATAAACACTGGGTTTTTTAACAACGCACGGTGGGTTTTCTAGTTTTGATTTTGAGATTCAAATTTACTGCGCGGCCGAAAAAGTGATGCAAGTACATTTTATTTGGTAAAAAGTGGTTCTTTCCTCTGAAGAGTCTCCAGACAAAAGAAACACATGCAAACCGAAATATCGAGTACGACAGTTTGCTAATTGTTTGCAAGATAAAATATGATTGTTCATGCAGTCCTGACTTTTAATAATCAGACGTGACTAGAGATATGTTCGCCATAAGATACTTTATCAAAATGGCCGTCTTTTTTAACTAATGGAGATATAGGTCAATATAGTACAGCTTGTTTTTAAAGACAGGTTAGCCGGGAGCACAAGACATTTAGGCCTTGCCTCAAAGACTTCTTCCAACTCGTGCCACTGAGTGAGACTTGAAAATTACCCTCAAGGCCGTAGTACAGCTTTTGCATATCAGAGAGTTCATGATCAAGACTCACCTAACAAACGTTGGGTTTAAAAAACCTCTCTCACGCTCAAGTTAAAACTTAGAAACCGCTAATGAGGAAAGTCTTCCTTAGTCAAGAATAACTCTTGCAGGAGGGTGAGTTGAGATTTGAATAGCAGCCTTATTTTTAAAGCTGTTGTCGGTCACAAAGACGTGTCTTCTAGGGTACGTGCCGAGAAACCAAATATTACATGAACTGAATGTTGTCTATGTTTTTTTGGTTTTTTGGGGGGACAATCTCAAACTTCAGGGCATAAAATTTGTAAATGTGGCACTGTAAAAGAAGTTCAACGCTAAATACGAAATACATTGGAAGATCGACAAACCGACAAGCTACATGTACTCACTGGGCACGGCACAAATTATTACTAGTTGATGTGCAAGTTTACTTGAATTCCTCAAAGATTACATTCGCGGTTTGATAACCGTTGTCAGAAGTCATTTCCTCTTAAGTTTCTTTAATGGGCTACTTTTATTTCAGTGACGCTAAAACGATTTGGAAATATTTGGTGGACTTCAACACAGGAATTTCCAATTCTGCTGGTTTAAATCTGCTTGGCAATTAAAGAACAAACTCTTTCCGAGAGGTGATGTCGAATTATGCGTCCGTTGTGTTTTCAACGTTCTATTTTTTTGACAATGCTGAAGTAAACAATTAAATAAACTTTAGCTTTTTAACGAGAATGTTACTTTCTCTGACTTAATGGACAGGAATGAGCAGTAAGTTTTCAAACGAAACAGAAACCGAGCTTACTCAGTCGACCATAACCAAGCTCATTGCCTTCGTCATGTTTCAGTCCTTAAAACTTCCGACGCGCTGAAACGAATGCATCACTTATATACTTTAGGCTTGGAAATTTGAATTCTAATAATGAAAGACACATCTCGAAAGAGAAGCAGGCTTTGGAGAATACTTTGGGAAATAATTTATCGCACGTTTGAAATGAGCAAGCGTTTGTTGATTGAGGGAGAAGTCACGCAACATATATTTGAAAATTATTGAACACTAGATAGAACAGGACATGAAGTTAACCACAAAACGCTGAACGAAACTCCTAAATTTTGCCGCTTCTACTAACCGCGACAATATAAGCAGCATAACAAGTAAACCACTTTAGTCCCCCGGAACCAAGGCGGAATGAGACAAAGTCGTGTCAAATTTTCAAACACTTTAGACTGAATTCCACATGATTTTAGCATTTTGTTCATGCCACAATATATACACGGTAGATTTACTATGGTACAAAGAATTTAGCTTTTCAAAGACAGCTCATATTTTGCTTGAACAACGATGAAAGAATAAAGAAATTTAGCGCAACACGTGTGTCTTAAAAAATTGTACAAACATACACTGTATGTTGGTAGACACCAAATCATGAAACAAAAGTGGAAACCATTCGGATGAATTTCTTATAATCACACCAACCTGACAAGCACTAGAATTACCAACCACTATATGTTCATTCAGTTGGCATGACATTAAAAACTTTTAGCTTCACTGCAGCAGCTTTTGCGTTTAAGGCAATCATATTTCTCATCCGTAAAATCGAGTGAAAATCACGGAGCGCATAGATAACATACACTTCACTATATCTCAGTTGTATCACATAAAGATTACAGGAAACCATGTATCACGCTCGAAAATGAAATTGAAGCACAAGTGATAAACGTTGAGAACAAAAATTCAAGCAAAATACCTTTCTCACGGTTTGTTCAAATTGTCCCTAAGATTAAACTTGATCTCGATTTATTCTAATTCAGTCTTTGTCAACTAAACTGTTGATGTATTCAAAATGAGAAACCGTGTTTTATCTTCATGAAAAAAATGTAGCGCGCAGTCTCTATTGAACCTCTCGACTTCACACTCATGATTTTGTATATGTCGCATTCACCATTTCGTATCAAGAGATATCTGTGAGCGATATAATTGTGCAAACTGAACCAAATCAAGTTCATAGTTCTGTGCAAGTTTACACGCACTGCCTAGCTGTCTGCTGCGTGTCCACTTAATGGCCTCAGAAATATTGCGCACGGACAGATCAACTCTAGTATTACTATTTAAGCAGGATGCTCACTAAAATCAAAATTGGAGCGGAAAAATTACAAATTACATCTTTAAATTCTTAAAGACGAATACAGATTGTAAGGTTAATGAGAGAGAGAGGTGCTGAACAAGTTTCAATTGAATGGTCACAACATTAGATTTCTTACCCAGCCTCTAAACGTTAGTTTCAGACTTGATTCTAGGAATGCAAGCTAGAGTCAGTAAATCACGACTTACTTTCTAACTTTGGGATACTTCATATCAGCTAGAGAGTTCGTTGAATCCCTTTGCTGCTCGATGAGATCCTGAGGCCACACAACATTTACCCAGTCCAGAACTCGCACCTAATAACACAAGGATATGATCCAGTTACACGATAAACGCTCCTAAACCTTCTAGATTTTACTTTAAGCTGAGATTAATGAACAAGGTACAGTGGAAGACGTAAATTTTTACTTAAAAATAACTCTCGTTGCGTCAATTACAGCTTAGCTTTGTCTGTTTTATTGCTCTAAATGGGAAATTCAAAATAAAGATTTATAAATAATAAAGAACTATTCAACTGGGGAAAATAGCCAAACTACATCAGGCAAAGTTTTGGAGTACTAAGTAGCTTTGAATCAATTGTTACATTTCAGCAATGCAATTACTTGCAAACGTAAAAGTTTTAGACACAAAGAGTAGTCATACAAAAAGATTGTTATGACCTCGTTTTGTCCAGCTGTAAACATTGTGCAAGACGTTTTCACATTGGAGATTGATATTTCAGAGCAAAATAGAAGGGATCATTTCAAACACGAGTGTTAAATGCGGCTTCAGATCTTGCGCGAAAGTGCAGTAGTCGTCCACTGAAATCACGATTTTCTAAAGTGGTAAATTATCATTTCCGTGACGTAAATAAGTAAGAATAACTACGGAATGGTGATTATAATTTAAAGTTTAAATATAAATTCAGTAAGTTTCAAAAAAAACCTTTCTGTTAAATTTGGTTATTGTGGATCAAAAATCGAGAATATTCCTTCTATTACGACCTTCTCAAAATTTTAAAAAAGATAATTCCTTTTGCAGGATTTTAATCATGAAAAGGGTAGATGTTACTCGAAAGTTTGGAACTTTCTAAAAACCAAACGTTTCAGATTCTGTTTTCATGGCAGACTTTAAATATCTCTCCTAGTACTTCAGACAAATAACTGTATACTCGAATGTTTCTGGTTCGTATTTAAACCGTATTAAGTCGTTTTTTTGAAAACAAATTTGTAACCAACAATTGGCTTTAAGCCTTTTTCAACGCCATAGGTCGTTCGTTTTTCTGCTAATTAAATGGAAGAAGGAACAAACATTACCCGCAAAAATTGAACACTGTGTCAACTTTCACTAACTTTAAACCCAGCAATAATAAGCACGTGTTAAAATTCACGCTTCGAGTGAATTGGAAATAGAATGTGCATCAAGAGCCTTATGTTGCCCATGTAGGAAAAAAATGTCTTAAAATAATCCGGTAGAACTTTGGTCAAATGTATTTCACAAAACAAGCAGCTAGTAAATTTACAAGTAGAAAGGTTTGAAAAAATGGCACAGCAAAAATTTTTATCTGATACGATACGCGGATAGAGGAATGTTCAAGTTCAGTTTGAAGATCGTATGTTCATGCATTAAGGGTTACCACCCTTCAGTTCAGCCATATTAAAGCAACAGGAGGCGGGACTATGTGAACACCAAACAGTGGTAAATTCTAATTTTTAAAGGTGGTAATTCAACAGTCATTGCACAAATGGGTATTAGACGTTTGCCTAAACAGCCATCACCGTCTCTCTGCTCGATCTGTATAATTATATCCATTTCTATGTAGACCAGTGTAGCGGGAACTCGGCAAGTGAACGGGTCTCAGAGAGCAGGTATTCAGTCACTTGTCCCTGTATCCCTGACACGCTATCAAGTGTCCAAAACATGGTGAAAGCCTTGACAGCACGATTATTTTAAATAATTTCAAAGTCCCCTCCAAAAACCTCATCATTTCGTTTTCATCTGATTCTTTGCGGCTCACACCAACATTGGCACTAATGATCAAGCCGCCATATTTGCATAGCTAAACCCCTTTGCAGGATGCGTGGCGTTTTTTGCCGATATTCAAAACCATTTTCAGTTATCGGCAAGATATAGCTTTTAAAAAGCTGAATAAGCCTTTGTTCTCCAATAAAATTCGCATACATCGGAATAACAGCGAGGAAATTTTTATGTTTAAACGTAAACACAAGGGTACAATTTTAAGCAAGTTGAAAACCACGCTGAAATCATGTACACAACAGAAGTTCGGGCTGTGACGCACAAAATTGCACGAAGAAGATTTACGCACCACTTTGAAAAAGAAGCCACAGTGTTTTTAACCGCCGCAAGAAGATATATTTTTATTACATGTACACGGACGAAGATTACACAAGGGACTTTATCGAGATGATATGGAAGAAATTTGGTTTTATAATTATTTTCATTATTCTTCGTTTTTAAAGTGCGAGTATGAGCATCAAAATTCTTTCAACACTCGCAACCAAAATGTCCCTGCCGTAGCTTTACAACACCAGAACAAAGCTACATTGGATAAATGTTGTAAAATTAAAGAAACTGAACCCGAAAATTTCAGAGGTACGAAACTGGCTTCTGGTTTCCTTATCATAGTTTTCGGGTTTTTGTTTTTAAAGGGCGTGTGAATAGTAAAGAGCTCCAGGGCACCTTTCAGCTCTAAGAAGCAGTTCTTGGCATGAATAGTTCCTGATTTTGCTTTCCGTCCTTTTCCGGTTAAAATCATCACAGCACGATAATGAGCTGAGCAAAGTAGAGTTTGGGGAGCTCAATGTGGAAAGCTCCTGGTTGGGGAAGTTTCTCTGAATTTTCATTCGGCACTAATACAACCTATGTAGTTAGCTTTGTGATAATAGAACTGGGGTGTTCAAAACATCACCAACCACTTACAGTCAAAAAGATATTTATTAATCCCAAAGGAAGACGATTTTTAGCAAGAAATGTTAACGGAAAATAACAATTATTGAATTAAATTAAGTTTAAGTGTTTAAAACGCAACCAATAGTAGTAAGTGCTACACAGAGTAAACGAGTCACACACAAAGCCCAAAACTCCGAAAACCTACCATAAATAAAGAACAAAATATACATTTTCATGAACAAAAAACCTTAAAAAATACAACTTGCTCACCAAGTGAGGTGGTTCCACCAGATCCTCCAGTTTAGTGTGGCTAAATTCCAAGCTTATAACATTGTAAATGTCCTCTCTCTGTTCGCTGGTGAAATATTTCACCCACTGTTGCAGAGTCATTTCCAAAGCTTGCTGTGTGTTGACATCTATTACATCCACAATTCTCCGAGCCCCTAATAACCAATGTCAACAGACAGCCTTAACAAGAGAACCGACATCAACAATTTTAACCGATGCAAGTTTTAATAAGCTCAAATGCAATTGAGGGCATATACGAAAAATATTACATGTAATCAGAGAATTTCAAATTAGCTAGAACGGCTTACCGACGAAATTCTTCACATCTTCGACTGTAAAATCTTTGTTAGGAACCCTAAATAACAATGTAGTAAATATAATTGAACTTTTACTTGAGAACATTGAGAAACTGGACAACTTGAAACAAACATTCTCTCTGAAACCTACGATCATGCTATCGGCTTTGTGCATTCACAGATTGCATACGTACCGCATATCAAGTCCCTCAGTGTTTTTTATTAGAATTGGTGAAGTGAAACCATTCTCCTGTATATACTTTAGGTTGATTTCTACAATAATAAAACATTATGTGAGCAAGCGAGTTTTCAACTGCAATTTTTTTATTCAGCCAAATAATTCCTTTGGACTAACCGTCTCCACTGAGTCTCTTTACAAAATCACCCTCGGCAAATTTCTCACTGTTTAGCTTTTCTTCCACACTAAACGTACGCTTTCCTTCAATAATGTCATCTGTATCGTCGTTATAATTCCTGCGGTTCTGTTTCCTCTGCGATAAACACGGAAATTTTAATGAAAAGGAGTTAGAAGATTTCGCGAATCAACACAGTAACGCACATTACCCTAAAATTTCTTTCCGCACACGTTGTTACGTGAAAATTGCTCAATGTTTACCAGCCTCAAGAAATTCCACCAAAAACCTAAACCAAATTACGTTTGCAAAACAAATCTACACACCAATCTGCGTTCCCCTTCAAATTCGCAATCCATTCTGTAGCACTTTCAGTCACACATGAGAAGAAACATCGAAGGAAGCAAAATCGCTCCGGATATTCACTGCTCAGTTCACGAGTTGAAATAACAATGCACCAGGTCCCTTGGGACCAAGCTCAGACCATAATAATAAGACGCGTTCCCACATTGCAAGAATTTCGTGACATTTCTATGGCAACGGGTGGAACTCGTATCGTTTTGAATTGATCAAATGATGGGTGAATACTCTTGTTTTATATCCGGATTTTCTAGTTTGTTGTTTCAAGATGAAAACTACGAGCAGATGAAGAGCGTTTCATATCTTAGTGGGCTTTTTCTTGGGGACCGTTGTCTTAAAAGGTTAATCCGGGTTAACCATTTCAAGGTTTTTGGTTACCGTGTTTTGACGGGTTAGCAAGCGTCGAGCATCGGAAACTGCCCACCCGCCCCTCCCATAACCCGTCACTTCGCTTAAGTGAGGACTTAGTGCTGAAAGAATTGGATTAAAGGAGAGTTTGTAGGAGGGTAGTTTCCACGCCAGAATCTTCTCGGCGAAATATCTAGGTTACCTGTAAGCGAAGCAATCACTCCCGAAAAGCATAAAACACCAGGCTTGCTATCACAACTAAGCTAGGGCTCCCCGATGGGGCTTACTGCCTCACCACCGCTCCTTCGACGCCGAAAATAATAATATAACCCTTTTTTCCATTTACAACTGTTTTTACATGGTCTGAAACTTCACATAGCTTATTGAATGAGAATATTGACGGGGTCCATCTGATGGGCGGCAGGAGGTTAAGTCGAACCTCCTAAGCTGAAGATCCCTGCAGTAGTAAAACAACAAAAAAGTCTTTCCTATTTAATGGAGCCTTAAAAAATATTACAGAAAATTATTCCTGCCATTCGATATTCTACTTGAGCCTTAGGCTATGTTCAAACTATACTTCCCTGCTAGCAGAGGACTCTCACGGCGAGGCAAAGAGACCTCTGCTAGCAGGGAAAAACTATACCGGCAGAGGCGGGTCCATATAAGAGTGGGGAGGAGGCGGTCATCCAGATTCTAAGACAAGCGGGGGCCGGTCTCAAAAAAAGACAAAGTTTCGGCCCTTCGGTCCTCAGTTTGGTCTAAAAATAAGAGGGGGCCTCCCCTGGATCCGCCACTGATACCGGATATATTTTATTTTTCACCGTGGCGCGACGATAAGCTATCAGCTATAGTGTGAACTCTCGATATATGACTCTTTAATCGGCAAGGCGCAGCTTCGCTTCGTCACAGAAATCACGCTGCCACAACCGTTCTTGTGTGTGAACAGAAGTGCTATCCTATATGATTTCTGTGCTGGCGCAAAATTTGTCCGGTATAGTCTGAACATACCTCTAGACTAAAACAAACGCAATAAAAACAGAAAACAAAGACTGGGTTGTCACAGGAGCCGATGGTTGTCAGTTGGAATTTGCAGACCGCCAATCTCAATTCTCGCCATGAGTAATAAAAAAAGAAAAAAAATACATCGATCTGACTGATCTGTAATAGATCTGTAGGACCCGGGGGAGGGGGTACTTTAGGAATTGGGTGGGGATGTGCCGCTGGGACCCTGGAACCCTTAACCTATACCAGAGCTAGTGCTACCCTATACTAGAGTAAACTTCCCAAATCCCCCCTATCCTAGAGTAACTGTTTCCCTAGTCTAAATAAAATCTTCAACCAACTGATCAGTTTCCTGAAAAATAATACCCTTCACAGCGGCACATACCTATATAGCCCATATATGGCAGTATTCCCCCCCCCCCCGGGCTGTAGGATGACTGAGAATGCAGGGCTTGATAGAGTCTACCGAAAGAAAGGGAGAATCACGCAACAAACCGTCGCTATATCAATATCTAGGACCTTTTGGCTCAACAAACCAACTCAGTATTTATTTACGGTACTAAATCCCCCGTCGTTATCTCCTATTTTTGCCAAGAAGAAATTTACTTATGTGCTATAAAAACACGCGTTTGCTATGAAAACACGCCATGATTATTTTTCACTCTTCATGTTACTTTGAAACCCACTTGGTAGTCCCAATGTTTGGCAGTAGATAAAATTAAAATGTTCTAAACACTCAAACAAAATAAGAAAGGCAAAAGTCAGCTTACCTCCCCATCCATATTAACACGAAGGTACTGCAACTACTGGTAGTATAGTGATATAAGCTGTTAAGCCTGGGGTCACGGCCACCACTTGAGTCGCACCGGAAACAGTGATGTTAATTATACAGTCGGAAATGAGAACTCCGAAGTTGGAAGTCGGAAGTCCGAAATCAGAAGTCGGAACTCGAAAGTCAGAAGTCAGAAGTCGGAAGTCCCTTTTCGGCTTTCGTAGATATAACGAAACCTCCTAATCATTGGTTTGCAACCACGTGACAAGGCGGCCATGTTGGTGTTGTGTTAGTGGTCAATACAACAGAATTTTTCTCGAAGAATTCATATGGAAATAGGGTTTAGTTCCCAGAAGAGAGAAATGCTTTTGTTCTGACCACCAACACACCACCAACATGACTTTCGTGACGTCATGTGCAAACCAGCAATAGTCCCTTAGCCCTTCGTTATACATGTATATATCAAGGGTCCGCTGTGTTGCAGAAACTAGTGTCAGGTAAAATATAGTTGAACGATCGTCAGAAATATGCTCTAAAGTAAGCGAAATACTTCAAAGGTAAGGCTTTTGTTTTTACCTGTTTACAGTTGAAAGTTGGATAAAGTTTCATCATTAACCGAGTTCACTAATTTTTCTTACCATTACTAAAACTAGAAAGTTTTAGTACTTCCTGGTTCTACATTAATTATCATCGATTCGCGCTCTTTCACTAGATTCCGGCCGGTCACCTCTGGAAACGGATCACTGGGTCTAATAGTGCGCCTCTGCCGTAACAATCGCAAAAATTATTGCATATTTTCAGCAGCTTCTTTATTCTCTACCCGTTTTTGGCGAACATTTGTTTTATTATTTCGCACAAAAAGTGCGGGGGAGGGCAAGTTCCTCCCAGTGCCTCCCCCTGCGCGTTCCCCGACTTTTAGGGATAACATTCGTGGAATTTTAAGGTATAAGGGATATCTGTTCTAAGAGTTCCAGGGTTAAGAGATAACAGACCCACCCCTCCCCCTCCTGCCCCCTAAGAGGGACTCAGTATTTTGCCGAACGAACCAGAACCAAAAAGATATGGTTTCGTTCAATAAAAATACCACCTATAAGACAGCATTCAAGCCAGTGTTACTATAAAAGTATTACAGGAAGTTTAGACTATTTAAACTTAAGCTTATATTTTCAGCGGCCACGATTCCGCCGGCATTGATCACCAAGAGCAAATTCTGATACGAGCGGTCGGGGAATGTAAACAAAGGGGAGTTTACCCATACTTACATTTCATGCTATACGTACCTCTTATTCCTCCTATTCATCGCCAATGAACTTCCTTAAAATACGAAGAAAATTTCCCTGTTCTTGCTCGCAAGAAGACGTAGCCACATGCAGCCTTTCTAAATCGAAAGCGATCCCCGCGGAAATTTTCGCGCATGCTCAGACGTTTGACCGCGTTGTGCCCTTACATCAGGATGCGTCAACGTCAGACGACTTTGTCGATCAGGTCCCAGTTGTTCAAAAGTTGAAGAACGATATCCACTGTATAAATCACTATCCAGTGAATAACGCAATTGGTTTCCCTAATACTTTTCCGCCCCATAGCGCTCTCCACAGCCTTTGAACAACCGGGTCCAGCTTAAGATTTATGCAACTCGTTCCCTGGGAACCACACTTTAAGCACGTCAAGACACGCGCAAAACCAGCCCTGATTACTTAAACAAAAGCGAGCTAACAAAATGTGACAAACGTCAGTTTATTATATTTATTTTCTTCGAAATAGTAAGAAGATGAGGTACTTTTTTCCACATTCTGCGCTTTCCTACCCTGGTGTCAGAGGTTTTTCTTGAAATTTTTCTTCTCCTTTTTCTTCGTGGCTCGCTCCCTCTTTCGCCAAGAACAGTTTCAAGAAAAACCTCTGGGACTAGGGTAGTGTCTTCCATACAAACACTGCAAATCTTTACCGTAAAAATTAAGTCAGCGGGAGCATCTTTTTCAGTAGCCTGGGTGCCAGAGACTTTTCTAGCGCGGTTTCCGGTTTCTGTCAAGTCTTTATAGTGACCCACGCGAAAATTCCCACCGCACGCGAGAAAAACTTCTGGTACCCAGGGTACTTTTTCAGTCAGATGTAAAGAAAATTAAAGGTCATTTAAATAAGCGATGTCAGTGCCAGGCAAAGCCTCAATTTGTGTCAGAAGAATCATTTTCCTGGAAGCTTAAGTTTGCGATTTTTTCAAAGCGGACTTTTCACAAACATTATAGAGAATGAACAAGCAATATAAAGTTATTTCACGTTCTTAAAGTTGTTGCATGAATATTAGTCTCTGACAAGACTGTTAGTCTACGAACAAGTGTGAGACGTACACTAACTTCGAAAAGTTAGCGAAACACTTAATTAATCATAAGCTCCTTTTCACACCAAAACTCATTGAAGCCTCAGTATACTGTGAAAAAAAAGCGGTTCGGTTAACTCGGTTAATGATTGTTTTTTCATAAAAGCTGTCTACTGATTTCCACCGACTACAAAACCCGAAGAGATACCCCCTACAATGGACTATACGAGGATACTCCTCCAGGTCGAAAGGGGTACTTTTTTCACCCTAGAGTTATGTCTAAGGTTAGCAATCTCGAGAGTGAAGCTTATAGAAAACGGGCTAAGGAAAAACGGATCTTCTACACTGAATGCTTCCTGTATTTGGTTTTGTTCCTTCTAGACAAAAAACGACTATTATTATACCTCCGTTTCTGGCCGGAAATTCACCGTTTTGACCTTGAGCATGACACAAAGTTGGTGTTTTGTCGAAATGCACCACGGAAGTGTTTTGAAGAGACTGTCCCTTCTTTTACTGGCTATTACGAGGCTGCTTTCGAAACTGGATCAAACTTCGTCCAACAAAACAGTCCCATGGTGCAATTTGGCAAAAATCCTACCCAGTCTTGGGCGCATTCTCAAACTTAATTAGACTATTTACAGTCCCAAGGAGCCCTATTTTTCCGTGAGATCGTCAAGAACGAGCACCACAGTCGAGCGTCTTGACTGGATCTAGCTTAAAGATGACTTTGTCATCTACTTCGGGGACTCGTCTTCTTTAAACCCGACGCCCAGCGCTCCCCCCACCCCCCTCCGGTACGATAAAAAAAGGGCTGCTAATGATGGTAAACGCTCATTCTCGACGATCTTGCGGGAAAACAGGGGGCTGTGAACAGTCTAGCTTAGACTGCGAGCAGTATCTCGTTTTCTTCAGATTTGCTGAGGGGAGTGCAGGCACGCGCGAGCGTCGAGCATCGAAGCCGCGAGACGCGAGAAACGCGGGCGGCAGCCCCTTCAGCCACGCGCGTTGTTATTGTTGTGTCTCGCGCGTTTCGCTCGACGGACTACAGAAAAAATTGAGAGACTGCTCGTACTCAAAGTCTAGCTCAAAATGGCCAATAAACCAGTTAACGTTTTATTCGTCGTCGTAGCGTTCCTTCTTGGCTGTGGACTCTCCACAAGAAGAGGAAATATCACTTAAGGCTTGGCTATATTCTGTGAACTTTCGTTTTAGACAAGCGCACGTTTCGCCTGCCTTTTCTCGATCTTTTCTGAAGCTCTCCGTGATAGAAGCTTGATCATTCACTCTACATTGTAGTCCAACTGATTCTTCTTGAAGCTGAGAAATGTTTCCCTCAATACTTTTGAGTTCTTCTAGTAATTCTTTTCTTCTTCGCCCTAAATTTTCCTTTTGAGTACAAACATTTTTCAATTCTGCTTGAAGTTGCTGGAGAGTAGAGCTCGCTTCTTTTTCTCTAGCCTGTTTCTCTGTCAATTCTCGCTGAGCCCTGCGGAGTTCAGCGCGATTTAGCTCCTTTTTGTCTTGAAGCCGCGCTACTAACATACTGGCCACGTCACTTTCCTCTCGAATGATCTTTGCTAGAGAGCTGCTCGAGCCATCTTCACGTGCTAATGAAGACTCATCTTGTTCGGAGCACGTGTCTTGTTCCTGTGACGCTATGTTTCCAATAGCGGATTCTGGGATATCAAGACCTTCACTGTCCAGTGGCAACACAGATTCGGAAAACTGAGAATTCTCGTCCAGTGTGTTTGAACTGTAAGGCACATTTACTTCCAAGCTATCAATGGCGCAATTTACCACGCATGGCACATCAACAACGTTATGATCTTCATCATCTGTTTCGTCCTCCTGAAGGTTTATTAAAACGCTATTTTCGACAGTCACAGAAACACAACTATTCTGTGTCAACGCACTTGTTGAGACGCTCTGTTGAGAATCATTTTTGACGTTAGAATGGCTGCAATTTACGATCTCACTAGAAGAAATAGTTGGAGAAATGCAAGAGACTGGAGTGCTTTCAAGAAGAGATGGAGAATGACCCATTTCATCCTGCGAACAATTGTCATCAGAAGAAAGTATACCCTGTGACGGACTCTGACGATAGAATCCTTCTCTAGGGAGAAAACTAGTTAAGCGCAGACTATAACCCTCATATACATCATCCGCCTTATCCAGTTGGCCGCGCGCTGTAGTATCGTTGTGATCAGAGTTTTTGGCAGGTAGAACTGTGGTAGCAGTGTGGGACGCCTCCTCTACATTGTCTTGAGTATAGAGCTGGTATAAATCAGGGTATTTCCGTGCTAGTTGCTCCACACCGAGCCCTGCAGAGTCCAGGATTACTTTCTCAACAAGGTCAGCCTTTCGATCTCGAGCAACATCAAGCGGGGTTTGACTTTCGCCGTTTTTCGTAAACTTGTAAAGAATTTCGTGATAATCCGACAAAAGATATCTCACAGTCTTGACGGAGACGTTGCTACGCGAGAGTATATGAAGAATAGAATCGCCACGGTCATTCTGTAGATTAATTGCTTTCTTCAGCGCATCTCTAGGTAACTTTTCCATTGTCTGCAAACTAGAGAGGCGTTCAAGCAAAATTTTCATACAGTTCTCATAGTACTCTAACTCACTGTTAATGGACCCTTGTTGGGTTATGCATAGCGCACAAATATGAAAAGCAGAGTTGCCTTGTACTTTGTCTCTTATAAACAGTCCATGAGGGTCTTGTTCAGTGAGCGTATACAACACCAAACTGAACTGGTTGGAAATGAATTCCACCGACCGAGGGGTCGCATCGCGGCTTCTAACAAGATGTAGCAATCTCACAGCTCGGTGTAAACCTGTTTCGCCGGTTCGCTCAGCCACGACAAATGCCTTGAACTTCATCTTTGTGAGAAGCCAGCTTAAAGCCTGAGTTCTGCCTAACACACACGCCCACTGTACCAAAGGAAAGCGGAATTCCGCAAGGGCATCCGGGACATTGCTCTGCGCATTCCATCCCGTTTGCAGATGAGAGTAAAGCGCGACTTTTAAGGCCCCTAAGTCTGGCGGATTCCTGCAGGCATCGGCAATCCCACTCAATGCAATGATCATTTCGTTGTGTTTTACTGAGCAGTTGTTGGGACAAAACACAGTATGATCGGGTTTGATGCCGTTCACAGCCATTTCAACGCATCCTAAAAACAAAATAACACTGAAATATGAATTCAGTTTGTAACATATCTATCAAACCATAAACATGAAAGCAGGATGGATTATAATCCCTACTATGATAACCCAAGAAGGTGAAACAATAGCTTATATATGAAGGGTGCCTATTCAAGACTAATTGTACACATGATAATAATCAAGTCTAGCTAGTCCTGGCCCAGATTTACAAGATTAACTTGTTTCCCTCTGTGAAATGTGGGATGAAAATACATTTCAGAGCAGACTAAAAAACTACAAGTTTACCTCACTATCAAAAAATTTTGGAGTAGATACTATGTAATAATTTGCAAGCTACCACTAGCCTGAGTGCATATGTCTCATACTTCCTTGTTGCACGGGGAATAGGCAATGTGTGCATGCAGGTTAGCTACCACAAATAATATTACTCTTTGACAAAAGAGTTTTTTGTTTAGAACTCTGTTTTCTTCCATCAGATTTATCGCCTATGATCTGAGCGAAAAGCTTACTTAGTCCATAACTTATAGTAGATTCAAATAAAATTTCCTCTACAGTGCTATCACCAAACCATCGAGAAGCATGAAGACCAAACAAAGGGTTGGCAAAGTGGTGCCAAGCTTGAATTGCTTAAGAGACAAAATATTAATAATATCGTGAGAAAACATCCAATTTTAAACACTGTTCTAGAGAGCTCAAAACATCATCCTTATTTGAGAGACAAACAGTATTAAAATCTGTGCCCAATGTGCAACAAGAATGCGTAAAAAAACAAATTCACTGGCATGACCATCTCTGCATATTCCTTTTTTTTAATCTTATGTTTCACTTATAGAAATTCAGGCTCAAAATAATTTTCGGACAGTGGCCTGTCATGCTGATTGGCCAAACAAGTTTTAGCTTTTTCATGACTCATTTCTGACTCGTCGATTGTTGAAAAATAGCAAACAGCTAATAAGATTGGTGTTCACAAAGGCACAGAAGGAGACTGTCTCATTAGTATTCTCTGAATTTATAACTGCAGGCAGCTATAATATTTTATGATTTAACTGTTTTCATAAATTACAGAGTTATTTAATATGACTAAATTTATTGTTCCAGTTATTAATTTTTACTTTCCTGTATACCTTGGATCCACAAATATTCTGTTTGTGTAAGGTACCTAACCGAATTTTTGACAAAACAAATGTTTAAAGAAACTTGTACAGTAAAACATTTTGCAGATGTTGCAAATGTTTCACATTTTTTATAAACATCTTGATCCTCCAAACTTTCCTATTACACTTCAGTTGCCAAAAAATAAGAATAATATTTGCCAAAAGCTTTACACTGGTTTCACTTCTTGTCTAATTTGCTGCGTTTGAGTTCGTTACCTACATACTAACATAACTTGTACCTTTGGAGGGAAAGGCTTAAAAGAACGAGAAATGTATTTAAATTTGTTTTTTCCAGTGGGATTAAGGGGCTATTTTTGAAATCAATTCGACACTTAGCAAAACCCGTTGTTACCGCCAAAAGAGTTCATGTAGTGGCATGAAATAACCAGTTTCAAGCCACTAAGATGCCAGGGAAAGGATTTAGCAATAAAGGTAACCAGACTACATCTCAGCCTGTAGTATTTGTAAATAACTGGTTATGGACAAAAAAAGACCCTTTGAAGTGACAAAGAACACACGATAATAATTAATTTTCCTGATACCAACAGTTCAGAAAGTCAATCCAGAGCTCAAAAATTTCTGGATAATATATAGTTGCAACATGTGCAAACGCTGTTTAACACAGAATTCTCATCAATGATGATTAATAAGTTACTTTCACATGAATCACTAAAACAGACTGAAGTCTAAATCTATTTCATGGCAACTGAAAAATGGAAGTGGATGCTAAATTTGATGAATTGTTGTGTTAAGGTGGTTTGATACAATTTTCAGCATCAACACCTCCCAAGTTTGTGCATAAACTTCCTTGCCATAAACAAAGGTTTGGAAATATTTCCAACACAGTTGTTTTAGATAAAGATGAAAACTTGTTATGATCAGGGTTGCAATGACATCGGAGTTGTCATAGCAATGAAATGATGCCATTACCTATTTTACTGGCAGCAGTATTTCTCGGCTCTGGGAACTGTTCTTCCAAAATTGTTTACAGAAGCTCTTTCTTCCAATAGCCGCCTTGATATTCATGAAGTTTAAGCAAAATCTGTGAGAGCATTATTGAGATATTTCAGGATGAAGTTTTAATGGTTAGAAATACAGTAAAAAATGGACAATCTTGATGTTTGGCCGTTTTTGGTAGAAAACAAAGCGCTTTTGACATGCAATTTCGCCTCATAGTAGTTTAGATCTTTTTAGAAACACATGCAGCAGAAGATCTTGAAGATAGGTCCAGCCGATTGCAAGAACGAAGGATTTGTTTAGTCTGTATTGAGGCACTGTTGTTAGCGGTTTTGTAAACATTTCGGTCTACTTTAACAAACTAGCAAATAATTTTTAAACCGCGTGATAGATTTTTTTTAAAGAGATTAAAGAGATTATCCATCCTTTTATATGACCTTTAAGTTTCAAGATTATTGATATATTTTAAGGCAATAAAATAATAAGGGCTACAATTCGCCAATATTTTGTCAGAAATTTTGTGTTTACAAGTGAGAGCCTCTCAATATTTTTGGGTATTGTCTCCAAGTTTCATATTTTCGTGCACAACAATAGCTAGCAGATTTGCATATTTCAAATGCATTGTTAGTTACTGCTGTTCATGTGAAAATGAAACTTGGAGGCAATACCTTGAATAATGAGAGGCTTTCACTTCTAAACATGAAACTTCTGATAAAAATTACGAAATTGTAGTCCTCATTTTGCTGCCTTACAATATATCAATAATCTTGAGACTCAAAGGTCTCCTAAAATGATGTTTATTCTCAAGAAGCTCAATTTTTAAAAAAAAAATCTATCAAGCAGTTTTAAAATTTTTTACTAATTTGTTAAAGTAGACCAAATGTTTTACAAAACCGCTAACAAGAGCGCCTGTATACTAATCAAATCCTTCTTTCTAGCAATTGGCTGGAGCTATCTCCATGATCATTCACACACGTTCTTTAAAAGATTTAAACTACTATGAGGTGTAGTTGCATGTCAAAAACGCTTCATTTTCTACAGATAACGGCCCAACATCAAGATTGTCCATTTTTAACTGTATTTGTAACCACTGATAATGCTGTCACAGATTTGCCTTAAACGTCACGAACATCGAGGCAGCTGATGGAGGAAAAAGCTCCCGTAAACGATTTTGGAAGAACAGTTTCCAATGGCGAGAAATACTGCTGCAAGTAAAATAGGCAATGGCGTCATTTCGTTGCTATGACAACTCCGATGTCATTGCAACCCAGATCATAACAAATTTTCATCTTTATCTAATACAACTGTGGTGGCAATTTTTCCAAATCTTTGCTCATGGCAACGTAGTTTATGCTCAAGCTTTGGAGGTGTTGACCCTGAAAAACTGTAACGAGCCACCTTACTGCTTTAATACCACTACTAGCAAGTTTGAGTTTATGGTTGTTGTGTTCATTTTGAAATAGGAGCCGATGGTTTCTGTCGACTTCCCCGTCCTATCTCTTCTTAATTATCCAATCACATAGTATTTTCTTGTAGCCGTAAACAGGAAAAAGCAATTCAAATAATGTAGTCAATTCATATTCCGGCAGTAGTATAAACCAAATGGTAAATTGAAAGAAGTAGTCGGACGTGTGCTATATATAAGGCACGTACGATTTAATCACGATGTGTATGAATGTCCGTATTTCGTTGCAAATAGAATCTCCATAAATTACACAACAGCCGTAAGTGTTACCCACCTCATAATATGTTGTTTGTCCCACGGTAATTATTGTCAAGAACAGGCACCATATTCGATATTTGTTCTTTTTGTCTGGGAAGACTGGAGCCACAAAATAAGTGTCGCGTACATGACACGCTTCTTGTTGACGTCCAATAACCGCTGATCGTGGTCAAGTGAATAGTTCCTTTCAGAGTCACGCTTTCTTCGCATTAAAAGACACGCGTACAATCCAGAATGTTGCGATTTTCGTGCAACCCGGAACAAAACTCTGAAAAATTATTGATCCATACAGGATACAGTAGCTGTCTGTTACATAGTTAGCCTGCCACGCAGGCTAGTTGCATAGTTTGCTACACAGCCGTTTTTAGTGAGGAGGAAAGTTGCGTGACGAAACTAAAAACGGCTGTGTTGCAGACTACTGTAGCTGTTGCACTGATTTTCCTCGCAATTTGCTCATACATCAGTACATACATACATACACACTGACTTTATTCAAGATGTAAACAAGCTTATTTACGGCTTATTTAATGTATTAAAAGACATCTTGAAAAGGGAGTTGAGAGGTTAGCCCCCCGGGGTGGGGGATACTCCCTTACAAGGGTTTAATGGGGACGTGCGGCCAGCCAGGGTATGTTTTTCGGGATTTTTGTCTTAAACAGGGTATCGATTTTACCATTTTTTTTTCAGTGCAAAACAGCACTACAGCATTGTTGCGACATTGTTTCGAATGGTTGCAACATTGTTACAACATTGCAAGGCTGTGTTGCGCTGAAAATCGTCGTTGCAAATCGTCCCGAGTAACATCACCTTAAAACGCGAAATTAGGCATTTTCACGTCGTAGTCGTGCAAAAACGGGAAAGACATGTACAAAAAAGTGTGATGCATGTGCGAAGTTATTGTTTTGCTTATTAAACCTATTGTTGTTGCAGTCCGCGTCGTAGGATCTTAAGGTGATGTTACACGGGACGATTCGCGACGACGATTTTTGGCGCAACAATGCTGGAACAATGTTGTAACCATTCGAAACAATGTCGCAGCAATGTTGCAACGCTGTGTTGCGCTTAAAATCGTCGTTGCAATCGTCTCGTGTAACATCACCTTTAAAAGTCCCTACTTTTGAGATATACGGCTGAGTTTGCAGTGAAACCACTCGCCAGCGGTTCGTGGTTCCTCTAGAGTTTTGACCATTTTGACGTCATTTCTATTGTCGATAAGGGTACAGACCATGGAAAATTGTTGTCGAATAGTTAATTTTACAATAACGTAACAGTGAAAGTTTTGACGTCTCTAGAGATTGGCATCTCTGCACCTCTATTAAATCGGAGTCTCCTACGAGGGGGGAACTGTGGTGCTGGCTCGGTGGACAGGAAAATAATTGACGGTCAGAAATATCGCCATGATTTTGTTGTTAAAACACGAGTAGCGCCACCTGTTTTGGTGTTAGACCAAACGGAATTAACAAGGTCAGCGCTCGCAATGACATCACATCTGCTGTCTTCCTCGTGCTAAAAAGTTTCGCTTTCATTCATGCTCGCAAGGAAGTCATACATAGCATGTACCGGCGGAAAGCCCATTCTGCCGATCAAGCCAGCGCGACCCCCTGCAAGGTCGGCCAGGGTTTGAGGAGAAAACGATCCAAATGCAAAACCACACCGACAAATATAATGAAGAGTTCCGGATCTTGTCTTAGACTTAATATAGTTCAGTGAAAATCTTGAAAAGTTAGGCATTAGAGAAATCAGTTATTTTTATCTAATGGGTATACGGAACTTTCGTTTAATAAATGCGACTTCGAGTGTGCGGTATACTACATTTCTGCCAGTGCTGGGTATTGAGAGAATATGATGCATTTTGGCTCATTTTTAGCAGCTTAGCCCCTTTTCCCCACCAATTCCATGGTGGATGCCTCTTATATTCGGTCAAGTGGGAGCCACTTACGTACTTTTTGTTCGACACGCATTGGAGGCCCATCTAGCAGGGAGTGTATTAGATTAGATGAAGGAGGTGCAACTTGTTAGGCCAAAAAAATAGTTTATTTGACGGATAAGTTGAATGATTTGTTGACGAAAGCAGATTGATAATATAATTTAAAATCCTTTCCGCCAAAAAAAGAAACCGTGGAATAAATATTTTTGCTTCAATACTGCCGGAACTTTATACAGAGCAAATATTTAAAGATAGGCATTGTTCTATAAATATATACGTATGTCGGCCTTATTTTCACTTGATTGGTTTGCTAGCACTTGATCATGTCAGAAGAGTATTCAATACGTCAGAAAAGATTTTGCACATGATCTTCCAACAGGCCATTGTTTGTGCTGCTATTGGCCGGTATGTTTAAACTAATTTTAACGAGTTTAAAAGATTTCATTTATGTCATTGACACGTATATTTTGAGTCTTGGCAAATAACTTTACGTATAGAAAGCATCCTGTGTAAAAACAATGCGTTGTTGCTTCCTGTTTTTTTTAGACGTTCTTTTTTGGTGAGTGCCAAAAGTGCAAACACAGTGAGCCAGCCTATATTCTTAGTAAAGTTTGATGTTCTTCAAAAGCATTTCAAGTGGTATGTTGCGCTCAAAGTTTCAGACTTACATAATTATGTATTTGTAATTAATATACTATTATGCAATTATGCACTGCCTCGTTAAGTGTACATTGATCTGATACATTTGCTGATTTAAATGTTTTTATTTCTTCATTAGATTCAAAAGGAAGACTGAAACGATTGACAACATTTTTGAGCCTTAGGTTTGGGTTGAAGCCAATACTGACACACAGTTTCATTTTCAGGTCTCTCTAACCTGCTGATCACTGACTCAAGTCATCGTGTGACTACAACTGAGCTTGGCCCAGTTGAACTAAGCCAAGAAGAGAAATGTGGTGGTTTATGGTTCTTGGTTGGTCGTTTACTCTTACTTGTATCTTAGGAAACTTGTTTGTCGCGTACTTGATCTCAACAAGACCAAGACTACACGTCAAAGCCAACTGGTTTGTCCTGTCTCTTGCACTGGCCGATTTATGCGTTGGATTGAGTTATTTGCCGTTACTCTTTGCCTCAAGTTTTTTTCAAGATTTCACCTCCGATCACAAGGGAATATGGTTCAAAGTCAGCCACACTTTTATTTACTCTTCGACCACCAACTTGTGTGTCTTAACGGCAGACAGATTTACAGCAATTACAATGCCTCTACGATACACCCTGTATATGACTCAGCGACGATTGTTTTATTTGGTTGCCTTTGCTTGGGTCTTGCCTATAATTTTCTTCACACTTCCTTCATTCTGTATTTATTCAAAAGAGCAGGATTCCCTCACCTTTGCCTTCCAAACTTTTAGGGTTGTAATATTTCAGCTTATCCCAAGCGTACTGTTTATATTTGTTGCTGGACGTTTGTGTTACATTGCAAAAGGCATTTCACGAAAGGAGGAGTTTACTTTGACCCAGATCAGATTTAACCTCCCTCCTCTACAGAAAAACGCAAGAAGAAACAGCCGTGACGAAAGGAAACCGTCTTCAATAAAAATGTTGATACTTATTATTTTCATTTTCGTTCTGTGTCACGTTGGAGGAAACTACAGATGCTTCTGTTCTGTCTTCAATCTATGCGCCGTTCCTGACTATATAAGGAAGGTTATTGAACTACTTTTCGTCTTTAATTCAGCGGTTAATCCCCTGGTGTACGCTTTTTTGAAAAGAGACATAAAACGAGAAATGAAGCTGATNACTTCCTTCATTCTGTATTTATTCAAAAGAGCAGGATTCCCTCACCTTTGCCTTCCAAACTTTTAGGGTTGTAATATTTCAGCTTATCCCAAGCGTACTGTTTATATTTGTTGCTGGACGTTTGTGTTACATTGCAAAAGGCATTTCACGAAAGGAGGAGTTTACTTTGACCCAGATCAGATTTAACCTCCCTCCTCTACAGAAAAACGCAAGAAGAAACAGCCGTGACGAAAGGAAACCGTCTTCAATAAAAATGTTGATACTTATTATTTTCATTTTCGTTCTGTGTCACGTTGGAGGAAACTACAGATGCTTCTGTTCTGTCTTCAATCTATGCGCCGTTCCTGACTATATAAGGAAGGTTATTGAACTACTTTTCGTCTTTAATTCAGCGGTTAATCCCCTGGTGTACGCTTTTTTGAAAAGAGACATAAAACGAGAAATGAAGCTGATAGGCCGGGGTTTCAAAATAGGAACAGTATTGATAACCTGACTAACGGTACCTTCAATATTTTCTTTATATTGTTATATCGTATTCTGGAAAAAGAACACTCAGAAATATTCCATCCGTCGGCATTCTCAGGAAGCCACCGGGATACTTTTTGTATTCCTGTTGATCCGTATTGTATTTCAGATAGTTGAATCGGATGGGGCGCAGTGCCGATTGTGCCTGAAACAGTATGATTTCAAGAGTTAAATTAAAACAATTATTCGAAGAAACCTAGACTAACGTCTGCGCACCTGATTTGATGAGACGGTATGTAGATGTATGCGCTTGAAGTTAGCTATAACCACCTTATCCCAGGAAGTTCAAGTAAATTCTTTTTAATGTTCTTTTGTGAAAAAAGACTAGTAAAAGATTCAATGGCCGCATTTTTCTCAGACATTGCATATAATGGCTCACTTGCCAGGGACGGAAAACTAATCATGGAATTTCATGAAGGATCAAGTGAAAACATTATTTACTAAGGTTTTAATAATCCCACTTGTCACTAAACCGACGGACTCAGCTTACTCTGCCAAATTCCTGTTATCGGCAAGTTGCAAGAATACTCACCCAATTTGTATTGGACAGAGAGGTGAAAAATAGTTTTAGAAACATAAAGTCTGTGTTTATCTCATCAAGGTATTGCCTATGGAGCGTTCTGTAGGCCAAGTCAAACAAATTTTATATGGTGAAAAAGCTAGAAAAATGTCACTAAGGCAACAGCGTATGTACATTTAAATATGACGCCTATGTGGAGATGTCCTTGAGGATCCTTGTTTTGGACAAATAAAACTTATTAAGCAACTCGTGCGCGTCTGTGTTTCGGTTCTTTCCCCTTCTTTACTAACTCCACTTAGCCTGTTGAAGGCTGTCGGATAGTAGGAACAACGCCGTAAAACAAAAGTTAACAAAGGCACCCGATAATAAGTCGAACGTATCTTGGAATCCCCTCCCCACCCTAAACACTTTTCGCGCTAGTCTTCTTAACCTGCTCCTCCAACTATCCGACGCCTGGAACAGGCTAACTTCTATTCAATAATGTGTACTGAAAGAGAAAAATAATATTTGGCGTTTCGTTTTGCAGTAATAACTGTCAACCGAACTACATAGGTCTCCTAGAATGACTTTAAGGAACACTGACGATTTACAACAATGTTTTTTAAAAAAATGAAAAAGTTTAAATAAGGCCCGGTTCAGACGCCGACCTTTTCATGAGCCGAACCTAATACATTGAATTAAGTACATGAAAAGTTCGGCGTCTGAATCAGTTAGGAACGCCTGTTTCAATTTGGAACGGCTCAGTCGTTCTTTTCGCCTGGCCCGGCCGGGAATTTCGCCTTTGGAGCGACTGTTTGGAAGGGCTTTAATTCAGACGCCGAACTTTTCATGTACAGAACCCAATGCATAAATTATTACAACGTATTTTGTACGTAGTTTGACCGAAATGAGCATTTTTCTCCTTTTGAATTTAGTTCAGCTGGAATTAAGATCGGCGTCTGAATGAATTCAGCCGGTCTAAATAATTTGGGTCGGCCTTAATTCGAATTAGGTTCGGCTCATGAAAAGTTCGACGTCTGAACCGGGCCTAAGATTCGCGGTTTTTGTCTAAAATTTTCTGAGATTTTAGGTTAAGGTTTTACGCTAGGGTGCGCAAATTTTGGGCATTTTTTTGCGAGGAATCTTCGGTTCTGCTAAAGACTCATCCAAGCTGCAGCGAATGTTTGGCGAAACATGAAAGTTTACCATAAAATAATATGCTATTTGCAAAATATTTCATCCAGGGCTTTCTTCCATAAGGTGCTTTAGTAAAGGAAAGATGTCTGTGCAGCTATTTGTAGAAACTTTTCTCAATTATTAAAAAGTGAGACATCCAATGACTGCTTTCAAACATTTAATTTTGAAAATCATCACAAAACAAAAAGCGATTTCTCGAAGTGACTTGAATACAAAACAAACCCTTATTTATTCAGAGAAAAAAACCGTCGATGCGTCTCTAAGAAAATATTTACAATTACAGTGGACTTCAGCAATTTTGTACGTAATCAGTGTTTAACACTTCCATCTTGTTCAGTGAGGTTTTACTTCGTGAGTTTCTCGATCGCACCTCTGGGTAAGAAGGAGAGGAAAACTGCAACGTTTTCGAAGACTCTAATACTTCAAATTTTTTTGGAGATTGTTTCAAACTACGAGCACTTCCAGAACGTTCATCTCTCTTTTGTGGTGGAGACAGTACCCTCCCCTTTATTGAATTCTGTGATAATGAATTTCGAGGGTTACTCAAGCGCTCCTCAGACTTGACAATAGAAGCATTACTCCCCATGTTAATTGATCTTCCGCTTTTCGGACGTTTTTCCAAATCTTTTATGGGCAGACTGCTTGTGGATGGGCTATTCTGACTGTGGCGTCTGTTAATCGTTCCTTCATCGTTTGATTTAGCGTTTTCTACTCGTTCATAACAGGAAGACTGTTCCTTAACCACACCTTTCTTTTCATTCGGTGTTTGGTGTATCTTGTCATTAGACTTAGACTTCTCCAGTTCTTTCTTCACAACGGAAGGTGTAGGGGATATTATTTCAGATTTGGATGAGCTGCGGCTCACTGACCGCTTTGACAATGTGGCTGAGGAGACTCTTCCACTCATTTCTTGAGAGCCGCCTATTTTACAGCCTTTTTCATCTTTGAACTCACCCCTTAGACTCGTCGGTGTCAATCGTTCTTTTTTCGCTCCACTTTTCGCCCTGGATGAAGATAAACTTCGTTCGGCGCTTTTAACTAGCACCTGACCATGAGACGATTTTCTGCTTGGTGTTAGTGACTTTGTTGCATCAGACACCCTTGGATCAGAAAATGACCTCGCGCTTGAATGTGGATTGTTCTCACTCGACTTTGATTTTCCTGGCACTTTTGCAGCAGACAAGGGCCTCTGACCTAATTTCCGATGGTTTAAGCTAATTGAGGTATCTGTAGCGGAACGACTACTGCAAGGCCTACTGGTTAAGCAAGTAGCTTCTCCAGAATCCCCGTCTGACAAGTTGCTAATCTTTGCACTCGACCTAGAAGCTGTCAGGGTACGAGATGATTTTCTTCCATCGATGGACGTCTTGCTACTCTTACGCTCGACCGCCAAATTAATCTTTTCTTGAGATTTCGTTGCACCTGGGGACGATCTCATGGGGCCAGGACTCTTTCTTTCATCAACCCAGTCAAAATTCATGGGGGTGGTTGAGTCCGTTCGAGATGGACCATCTTGGACAGGCTTGGGCACTCCCATGAGCTCCACGGAATCGATATGAGGAGTTTCCTTTGGAAAGATGGTCAAAACATCACCTGTAGTAAGCGATGTACTGCCGGTCTCTTCGGCTTTCTCGTTATCCTCTATGCCAGTCGGAGTTGAAGGAGATTGAATGATTTTGGAGTCGCCGGCCGTTATCTCCGCTTCACCGACATTAGAAACTTCTGTGGAGCTGTTGGTTCCCTCTNGCCAAATTAATCTTTTCTTGAGATTTCGTTGCACCTGGGGACGATCTCATGGGGCCAGGACTCTTTCTTTCATCAACCCAGTCAAAATTCATGGGGGTGGTTGAGTCCGTTCGAGATGGACCATCTTGGACAGGCTTGGGCACTCCCATGAGCTCCACGGAATCGATATGAGGAGTTTCCTTTGGAAAGATGGTCAAAACATCACCTGTAGTAAGCGATGTACTGCCGGTCTCTTCGGCTTTCTCGTTATCCTCTATGCCAGTCGGAGTTGAAGGAGATTGAATGATTTTGGAGTCGCCGGCCGTTATCTCCGCTTCACCGACATTAGAAACTTCTGTGGAGCTGTTGGTTCCCTCTTGACAGCCGCTACCATCATCCTCGATGGTAGCATCTTTCGGAGTGCCCACGAATGACGCGCCTTGTTTAGGAGCTGCAAGGGAAGATTTTTTTCACAAATAAGAACCAAACAAAAACAATACCAACAAGGTTGGACTGGAAAGTCATTCTTCCTCTAAAAAGGCAAAAGGCAAACTTTTTTTAAAGTTTTAGTACAAATGGTCCCGAGATCAGTTTTTAAATATTGGCAATTCAAATTAGCAATGTTTATATTAAGGCTATATGCGTATTAATTAGAAAAGGCATGCTATCTTTTGCATGCTATCTTTTTCACACTTTCTTCTTGGTTCCCTTCATAATAAGCTTACATAGTGGAGACCTTTCCTGGTTTTGAACGGGAATGAATAGAAAAGTCTGATAGCCGTAGAAGTGTTTATTTAGTTACCTGGCCCTGCAGTAGGTGAGCTCATGGTAGAAGGCTGTGAGTTTAAAGCTTTAGGACTCTTCTCTGGAGATGGCTCGTTTTGAACGAGGTTCAACTGCGACTGGAGAATCTCAGCGACGAAATAGTCTAGCTCCGCCTCCGAAGCAGCGGACTCCTGTTAAAAGAAAAAAGCGTATTATTTGTCAGTTCACTTACAATAATCACAATCAGCAAGTGTTCTGCATCGTAAAGGAAATATGTTTCGTTTTTTGTTACATTATTTGGTTGTTGTGTGATACGAGAATCTACAAAAAGATATTGCAACTTGTATGGACCTATTTCTACTGATATTCTACGCCTGGAGAGCATAGCGAAAAAAAAACACTATTGATTGTGGCTGCTGGTCAGGTGCTTAACATTGGTTTAATTAATGTATAAAGACATACACACAAAACCTGCCCCACTCTCCCCGCAAGGGCTCTTTGCCTCTAGAGCTTCACAATTCGTAACTGAATCCACTAGAAAATGTCAGATATGTTTTCGTGTTTACAGTTACCATAAAAGCAAGTGTAGAATATTCAATTACCTGAGATGTCGACTGAAAATTATCCCCAACAACTTCCCTGTTGGGTGTGTCTCCGTCCTTAAGAACCTGCTCGGTAGGGTCGGACTTTGCTTCCTGAGCTGCTTGCTTCCCCGTTACACGGGTCTCAACAGTTCTGGATGGATTACCCTTTGCAGAAGCAGGACGTGACACAGGGCTTTTAAGAGACGGACAACTCTTTCGCTTTACGTTGCTGGTTGTCTTGGGCACATCGCCCTTTGACAAACGATTTGATATGGGTCGTTTGATCACCTCATTGGTGGCCTCAGCTGGATTACCTTTGAAAGCTGGACTTGATCGTGGTCGGCTTTTAGGCTGAAAGCGCGTTTGATTTGTCTTTGAGGTGTTTTTGTCGTTAGATTGGCTCGACTTGGGCCGTACGGTACCCTGGGTACATCTTTGNACCTCATTGGTGGCCTCAGCTGGATTACCTTTGAAAGCTGGACTTGATCGTGGTCGGCTTTTAGGCTGAAAGCGCGTTTGATTTGTCTTTGAGGTGTTTTTGTCGTTAGATTGGCTCGACTTGGGCCGTACGGTACCCTGGGTACATCTTTGTGTTGCCTTCACTTTGTTCTTTGTAACAGGCAGATTTTCTTTCATGGAAGAACTTGCACTGATTCGTTCAGGCTGACAGCTTTTAGTCGGCTGTTGCTTGAGCACTTTTGTAGGACTTGATGTTGGCCTCTTTGAAGGCTCGCTCGTCGTTGGTTTTGCTCCATCCTTGGTATCAGATAAACCCTTTTTCAAAGTGGGACTTGAATGAGGTCTCTTTGTAGACTGGTAGATTTGTTGTCTTGCCTCATTTGCGGTGTTAACAGCATTTTCCTCTGATGACTTGGATATTCCACTTGATTTCAGACTTTTCACTGACTGGGAACTTGCTGGTCTTACCTCGGTAATGGTTTTTGTCTTACTTGTGGTGTTAACAGTATTTTCCTTTGATGACTTTGATATTCCACTTGATTTCAGACTTTTCACAGACTGGGAACTGGCTGGTCTTGCCTTAGTAGTGGTTTTTGCCTCACTTGCGGTGTTAACAGTGTTTTCCTTTGATGGCTTGGATATTCCACTTAATTTCAGACTTTTCACCGACTGGGAACTTGCTGGTCTTGCTTCATTTGTGCTTTTGGATATATTCCCCTGGGGTTTAGAAATTGACTGGGAGACGTCTGGGCCAAGATGGCGATTCTGTGGTTTACTAGTAGTTGCGGCGTTGTTTGGTCGGTTGTCCTTTGGCCGAGGGGATCTCGCACTGGATGTTATCTTCTTTGAAGCCTGAATTATAGATGTACTGCGCCTTAGTGAGGTACTTGAATTGAGCCCGTTAGAGTTCTCTGAAAAAAAAAAAAAATAGAAAACACAAACATAAATCATACATAAAAACTACATTTAGTAATGAAATGTGTAAACTATTTGAACTAAACTAAACTAAATTTATTTAAATGAACTAAAATAAACTAAACTAAGCTAAGAGTTTGCTAACATTACTCGGTGACTGGAAAAAGCCGTATAAGATTAATTGACTTTGTGAAGTTCCAGTATGCAGTACCTTAGAGATATTTTACGACCCTTTGGTATAGTATTTTGAATACGAATTGCACTGGTATTTCAGGATTGGATATTGAGTATATTCAGAAACTCATAAGGGGTTGTGTATGAGTTTCTGGTTATTCCACTCCACCCCTGACCGGGCCTGAAGTTCAGCTTATGACTAGTCACCAGCACAAGAAAGCTGTTGTTTCGATAACACGTAAGGTTTCTATTATTTGTAGCAAATTTTGACTTTATTGAAATCCAGATAGCGTCTGACCTGAAACCAGTGTAAATAGTTCTTTCCCTTTGGCCTGAATAAATAATTTTTGGATTTAATGTTCCGCCTGAAATAATTCCCTTTTTTTCTCATGTTCAAATATTATATTGTCTACCGGGCTGAATTTTTCAGGCAGTGTTGCAGAATGGCTGTAAGGAGCTTAAAATATTACGAAAATTAACCCGGAGATTTTCATCGTAAAAAATTCTTTTAGTATTTGGAGATTAAATAACAAATCTTGAGACTCAGAAAAGATAATGTGCGAAAAATTATACAGATAGCCCAACATGAAAATATATTCCATGCTCAAATGTGAAAGTGTCGCGAAAAATTTCTCGTTTCACTGAAAAATTACAAAAATTAAAATATTTCTATCAAGGAATTATATGATCAACTGATTTACTACTTTACTAAATCAAAACTTACTAAGTTTGGCTTCATTGGCCTGTCTTCGTAACTCTGCCGCCTTTGTTGTTTTCGGCAAGGGCTTAGTTGTTTTATTGTTTTTCGTTGGTGTGCTGTTCAACCTGATTGGACTCTTACCTGTAAAGCAAGAAAAAAGTTTGTAGCTGATACTTACAGAAAAACAAGAGAACGCAAATGCCAATTCGTTTCTTTTTTTTGTAGTTACTGATTTTTAGTTGGAAATTTATTAACTTGTTTGAATCTTCTTTCAATTTGAGAACCGTGGTAAAAGACGTCTCAGTTCATTTGTGTTCTTTCGGGCGAATTCTGATGCTTTTAAGAATAAAATTTTTCGCCCTTTCGTCTTGCAATGGTCCACTTTCACATTAATTAAACTACTTTGATTATGTAAATTGTGGACTGAAAAATCTGAATTCTCCAAAGGGAGTTGTACTTGTACAAGGCAAGCCTACATCAAGTGGACGACGCGGCATACAAATTTATGTGAAAAATTTAACCTCAAGCAGTTTTTAGAAAAGGGATCACTTTAAATGTTTTTTCCTTGCCTTACCGGTGCAGGGAACTTGAACGGGAATGCAAGGACCCGCTTTAGATGCTCCACAACCCATCTTGGGTTGCAGAAAAATTAAACTTTCCGAATAATCGATGAACGATTTGCAAACTTCTATCCGCAGTAAAATACACGACTGGTCGCGATAAAGCGAGAGAAGAACTGAATAAACACTGTGTTACTAAGGCAACCAGTATGTTCTTTTTCTCAGTACGTCACGTTTCCATAGAGCTTTTGAAATCTTAAAGAGTTCATGTTGTTCGCCTTGTTTCTGTTAGAATAGTAAGTTTAAAGACGTAAGCTTAAGTAATCTAGTTAAGCTGAAGTTTAAAAAAGTTGTTCCATAAACTGTAATCAAAGAAATAAATCTTAAGCCATCTTACCTATTTTAAGATAGTATCTCCGTTGTTTCGTTGACCTTAAAACTCCCAAATAAAACTCTTCCCATAATATTTTCTCGCTCAAAAAGTATATAACAACAATAGTGTACGTTGTTTTTAATACCAGACGCGCCATTTGTAAAAAAAAAAAAAACATGTCGGCGCGTCTTAGCCGAGTTGTCAGAGACCTGTCAGTCAGAGAGACACTGGACCCGAATCACCGCTGTCCTCCCTGTCCTCCCGTCCACGTTCTCCGCGGAAGGGTAGGGTCGGGAAGAAGAGGTTTGTGAACGACGGCAGAAAAAAAACGTTCCGAGCGGTTTCAAAGGGCGCGATCCATTCAACCAAAATTTCCGGAAATTTCGGTCCAAAACTCAATTGATCGGTTCGGTCCAACCGGAAAAGTTTCGAAAAAACAGGTCCACCTTTTGAGGTGGTCCTCTTTTCCCGGTCGGACCGGTCTGAATGTTGGTTGAATGGATCGCGCCCAACGTTTATTTCGTTAGGTACTAAATCACCATGAAGTGGAATCGGAAGCATTTGCAAAATAATGTGAAACAGGTACTTAAAATATTGTGTTCTTCGTTTTTCCATGGATAATAGAAAGACTGTCTTTCTATTATTCATGGTTTTTCCGTATGATAAACAACGGACTTGTTCTTAAGAGGTACTCTTAGTTCGGGGAGGGGTGGGGCTGTGCTTATGTCCCTAGCGTTAATTTCTAACCTGTCGCCTTATAAGACGAGAAAGCCATATCCTTGACGATGTTTTACTATTGTATTTGCAACTTTCTCTATTTCTTGTCGCAGTTTCAACCCATCTTAATGTCATTTGTCAGCCTTTCCACTTGTCTTACATCACTGTTTCAAGGTCATATCGCTTGTCGGAATTTTACCCTAGCATGACCACTCTTGTGTCCCGACCGTTTGTAGTTCGAGAATAAAATCTTCATTGGTCATCATTATTAAGCGTACATATTTGTGTCTTTTTATTAGATTACAGTGNGTCGGAATTTTACCCTAGCATGACCACTCTTGTGTCCCGACCGTTTGTAGTTCGAGAATAAAATCTTCATTGGTCATCATTATTAAGCGTACATATTTGTGTCTTTTTATTAGATTACAGTGACACAGATCCACCCTGAATGGTATAATCCTAAGTAAGTGTGTGTCTCAACATTTTGGTCCATAATTGTCTAGTAGATAACACTGCTTGCAGTCTTCTTGTGTCTATAAATTTACCCAAGTGAGCATGTGCAAAAGCAGAGTCTTATAGGGGGGTTACAGAGTTCGAATAGTGTCTTGAATTCTTGAAAAACTCTTGAAATTTGCCCAGCAACATTCCAGACCCGGAAAAAGTCTGGAAAATGGGGATAAAGTCTGGAAGTAGTGATAAAAAGTCTTGAGTTTTTTTAAGCTACGACAAGTGCTTTTTTGGTTTCGGTCAAATCTTATTCAATCTCACCCATATGTCTGCAGAACACCATGAAAAAAGCGTTGTTCCTGCTTTTTTAAAGGTCTCTATTGATCACCTATTTGATAACCTTGAGTCTGGAAAAAAGGAATTATTGTTTTGGGAAAAAGTCTGGAAAAAGTCTTGGATTTTGGATCGAAACATCTGTACAAACCCTGGGATATTAGGATAAAGAAAAGATGGTTTTCCTTTTTGGGTATGAGCCCCCGTCTCATTCTGTTCCTTCTTAAGCAAATTCAAATTTCTTGCGTGTGCTAGGCAAATAATATTATATTGAGTGACAAAGGATGATGACAATTTCAAAGATAAGCCATACAAAAGCATTTAGCTTGTGTAGCAAGTGTTTCTGATCAATGCAAGCAAGTTGTAAAAATGGAAGACTTTCTCAATGAACTCGTGTGGAAGCGCTTGCTACACAGGCTAGAAAGCAGTCTACATATTTTTCAAGAGCAGATGAGACAAAGGGGATATCTCATTCTTCATGCCACAATATTATTGGTCAGCACCATGTCCAAGAACAAAGGCATAATTATTGGCAAAATAAGGAGCCTAACCATGGCTAACATCAGATGGGAAAGTTGAAAGTTGTTTGTTTTTGGTCAAGAAAGCATGGCTTCCATGTCCAAATAGAACATTAATCTTTTCACAGTGATAGTGCTAATCCTCCATCAACTAATAAAACCTGAAAAAAAAGGAGAGAAGTTAATAGAAGATTAAAAAGCAACTGCCCCTTAGTGGGGAACAATCATTAAGAATTGAGGATGCAAAGAAAAAAGACAAAAAAGTTTGAGGACATGCAAATGACGTGGAGACTTAATAGCAAGGATATAAGTGAGAAATTGATCCTGGTTAACTTTCACATTATCATCGCACATCTGAAGAAGACACTTCAGAGACAGACACTTGGAACAAGTTCCATGGATAAAGCTGTCCAAGATACAATAGCCTAATAGACTGCAAATAAGTGACTGTCAATTCAAGGAGACTAATTTGTATGAATTCTAAAGCATACAGTGTTTTTTACCACTGCCTTGGAAGGCTAACTCTCTGAGGGTACAACAATAAATAAGTTTTAAGGGTGATCATACCTGTCCCGTGATGTAAGGTGTCTCAGCCAAAAAGCAAACTGTTTCTGCGACCTCATGGACTGTTCCATATCTTCTGAGTGGAATCAAAGCTTCAATTCCTGAGTTCTGTTTCCTCAAGTTTGAAGTCATGTCTGTCTCTATGAATCCTGGTGCAACCATGTTCACTCTAACATTTCGCGAGGCAACCTCTTTGGCCAATGATTTAGTGAAACCTATAAGGCCTGAATGAAATAATTTTGATTTATT